GCCCTGGTCTTTATCATCTATTTGTTTCACCTTTTAAGTGGAATTACAGAAATACATGGACGTTTGAATGATCTTCTTGCACTGCACAACATCTGGACTTTTGACTCAGTATGCACACATGTCTTTGCCTTCTTCTCAGCAAAATCTTCTCAGGGTTTGATTCCTGGTTGGTACAGGGCCACTCTGAGTGAAATCTGAAGGTTCTTTTCATGTCTATGTAGGTTTTATCTGGTTTCCCCTAACCACTAAAAACATGTATTCCCTGAAAAAGAGATTCTAAAATCACAGCAGGACTTACCTGGTTAAATAAAAGTAACTAAATAAATGAATGTTGATGGCAAACAAACAAACACAACGCCAGATCATTGTTTGTTAAAATCTGATTCTAACTACTTTGGGCAGTGTCACCAGGAGAAACCTCTAAATCTACTTGAAACTGCAGCTGTTCCACAAAGATCATTTAACTAACACTATTTTGTAGATCATCAAGAACCTTCACCATTAATTACATTCAATTGTAAAGTATGAATAACAAATTTGGTAAAAAGAACAAAAGTTGCTGTGGGTGAATGTCGTGCCAGTGAGCCGAGCAGCCCCTCCTCTCTGTCTTAAGTAGGAAGGAAGTGTGTATGAGTGTTTGACACCATAGATGAGTTGTCTTGGAGGTCTGCCGGTTCTTCTTGTATTAAACAGAATTTTCCCGGGTAGAGTGTGCTTCCGAAACCTTCTGTACGATTCCCTCTTCAGCACAAACTCCAAGCTTCTTTTGGAGTGGACTGTTTGTTTTGGAGCGTCATTATTCCGGAGCTGGAGGAGCCCTGAGTCAGCAGAGTGGACGTCGTGCCCACCTGCCACACTCTCTGTTCTCCACTATGATAGATAAACACATGAAAATAAAGATACAAGTCACCCAGGTGGCACGTTAAGAAGGAAGCCCACTCAGAAGAACAACATCTATCTATCTATTCCTCCTCTGTGTACATGGGATATAAAGTGAGAGCGATATATTGCATGTCATATTGATTACTTTATTAGTGATTTAGTAATAGTATTAATCAAATTAATAATTTCTGGAGTTGTAGGTTATTAAAAAAATCGTTTAACTACAGCCCATGCACAGGCACACACGGACACACAAGAGCACACACACTCACGTACAAACACATACGCAGGCACAAAAACACACACACACGTTATGAATTTTACTTGGGTATGCACCTCTTCACCTGGGGGGTTTCACTTGTGAGGCTTCAGATGGATCAAGCCGCTTGCACAATGATTACTTTTGAGTAAATCCTCATTGGACAGAGATAAGCTCCTTTTAATAACACAGTCACATTTACAGTATAACCTCCAGAGCCTGGTTACAACATGAGGGTTGGAGAAATAAAGAAGAGATCTAAAACAGACAAAAAGTATCTTCATATTTATCATGACATTTTGTGGCAGTGCTTTCTGTTTGGTTCAATGTCACGGTTATCTTATGCTTACACTGCAAAGCATTCAATTCAATCTTGAATTGAGTACTTTTTGAGGGTGTTAGAGTTTAGACAATTGTCTAAACTGTATTTCAAATACAGTTTACATTATTTTTTCTTTCCAAGAGGGAATGTTCTTCGTTTTCCTGCTTCTGGTTTTACACTGTCAAGATATACTAAAAACAGGAAAAAGTCTTTTTTTGCTGTGTACTATAAATCTTTTGTAATATTTTCAGTATGTTCAAAAATATTACACTTTGCATTATAAAAACAGAAAAGGTCTGATACTGATCGTGTAAATGGTGAATGTCTTTCTTTGCAATCTCGTTTAAGTAAGGTTGTGCTCATGCTCTGGATTTCTATATCAGTTGGAGGGACTTTATGTGAAAGAATTCATAAAGCTGCCCTATTAATTTGATATCTGAAAGCCCATTCTAATGGCCAATATCATACATACAGTATGTTTTTGAGTAAAATTAGTTCAGACATTGGTAAACTATCGGCTCTTTGGAATACAGTGTTAGCTTTCATTTCACTGGCTGTCGAGCACTTTATATCGCTGCAATTATACATACAGAGTAAATAAATGTCCCGTAGTTTGGTGCAGGGCCGCTGCACGATGTACTTGTGCATTTGAATGTGCTGCAGTGCCCTGTGAAGGTGAACAGTAAGGCTCCGGTCAGCAGGCTGGAGTCCTCCCGGGACGCCCTGGGGTTTGGGGATCGATAGCTTCCCTCCTGAACTCCCTTCTCTGTCCTCACACACTGGCATGACTTTGGCCTGTGTTAATGGTGCAATGGATTTACAGAACTACGCCAATCAATAGGAACATCTGCGTTCTTCTCTGCACATTCTTTTTCCTTTCTCATTTTGGCTGGCTGAAAATGCTTGCGCAATATTAGGATGGAAGGATTTAAGGAAGACTGGATATAAAAAAAAACCAACAGCACTCTCCTGTGCCATATTTATTTGGTGCTAACTAGGGATACAAACATGGAATTGTGATCTTTCTCAGGCTGTTGACATTCATGGCCGACTAAAGAAATGCCCTGTTTTCTTTAAATAATAGATAATGATCTTTCACGTTCCCAAGGGGGTCATACTGGTTTCGGTCGGGGGGCACATTAGAAGCACCAGTCATTGGAGGCTGCAACCTTTTTTTCTTTGGACTGTTCTGCCAAGACATCATTTTCTTTATGGAGAAGTTGGTTTTCATCTCAACTATCTTTTGCATCAGATCTGTATTGATAGATCACATTAATTACATTAATTTATGTAGGTATCTAGACACATCTCTAGTTTTAGATTTTTCTGAACAAAGCGAGGACATGCTTGGACTGAACCAAAATTACAGATATTAAAAAGTCCAGTCCATCAAGCATCAATAATATTAATTATTATTCATTGTATCATGTGTTCATTGTTTATGACAAAATAACTTAAGCACTTGTTTAATTAAGTGAATTAGCTTTAAAATTATGTATAACATGGTCGGGTCGCCCATACATACATTATTCTTTAAATGTTTGCAAGTTGATATTAACGTGTGAACACAGGAAATAAAAAATATTTATTGTTATAACTGTAGAGCCTAAAAGCAGCCTCTGATGAAAAATGAGTTTGATACTTGTGCCCCAGAGATCTAGATCTTTCTGAAAATCTACTTTTAGTCATAAACTGTCGGATCTGGTTCAAAGAAAATGATGAAAGCCATTTCCCACCATATGCTGATCCCATTGAGTTCTTGGGCAGGACATTTTGATGGGAATGTGACTTAAATAAAGTGTAATTGTTTCATAATTTGTAAAGCAGATTGTGTAGGTTTCTCCATGTCCCGAACAATAGCATAGGGTTAAAGACAATGGCACCAAAGCTCCTCCTCTTTCCTCTGGTGGCCCCTGTGATTGGCTGAATGACACGCAGGTCCCATGCCAGTGTGATTGTTTTGTCTTTAGTCCCGCTGGAGGACCGTAACTCTGCTCAGTTAATCTTTGTGATGTTAACCTCTCTTTTGTTGTCAAGTGGAAATGAATCAGTCTGAGAAGGAGTCACATCGCTCACAAAAACACATTATAATTATTTATGGAGCAGAGGCCTTCTGTTATAGATTGTAGATAGTAGACTCTTCGGTCGGGAGAAAGGGAACGCCGTCTCCATGTTCTGCAGATGTAGCTCACCAGGCTGTACAATAATGTTTTAAAACTCACCATATTGAACATTTCATAAAGTATCTATAGAGCTATCTTGTGTATTTCCCCTTAAGTGCTTTCCTCTCTCTGTACCCAGGGGTTATGTCCAGTTTGTCCGCAGTGCCTACTGTTATTTTGAAAGGCCACTTCATAAGAGTTCAAAAGCCATTTGAATGTTTGTTGTATCACCTTAAAAAAACAAAAACAAAAAAAAACTACTAACTTGTTTGCACCAAGAGCCAAAGCAATTTTCTAGTTTGGGACTTGCTGTTCTCACATGGCAATAAAAGGATTCTGATTCTGATCAAAATCTCAACATTTACACACTCATTTTAGGGATAATCTCTGACTTGTTTTTTAAATGAATAACTGTTATTTTCACAAAACCTTTTCATAAGAATGGGCTGATGATCAAACCAATTAATTTGCTTTGCATAAAACGTTGATCTCTTTTATTGTTCATAGTCTGTATTTATTAAGGGTTTGTGTGTCTGCAAAATGAGTAGCATCCCTAATCATTGGAGAACACTGTAGAACAGATAAAAATAGCCTTTTATAAAAGTTACTATGATTACATGTTGTTGTGAAGGCGGCAGTTTATTATATATGTATGATGTTTAACCATATCTCTCATGTGCGCTCCCAGACACAAGGCCAACAAGAGCCAAGCCTTCTCCACTCATAATGTGAATGGAGAGTTTTTGGCCACATAATTTAAAGATGAATTAGAATCCCACAAGTCTTTCATTCAGGTTGCCAGTATCTTTGGTGAAATGCAGCTGGTTTGATCACGAGTCCTGAGGCGGTTACCCTACACCCGCTTTACATCCTGGTTACACCCCAGCTGATTGTGGGCACCATGTCTGTGTTCTGTTTAAACATTTTAAATACTGTCACACAAATTTTTACTATCTACGGTAATCTTCTCCTAAAAGAACCTTTCTCTTTATTTTAATACAATCTACTGTTACTATTACTCTTTACTATTACTCTTAAATCACATACATGTGATCGAACTGTGGCCTCTATATTGAACTTCACCACCTCATTCATGGTTAACCTGCAAATGTACCTATTATTTTCTAACCACTGAAATGCTTGTATTTATTATTATTATACTGTATGTACTACTAATATCTCTCCATATCAATTCAATACACTTCTTGTTTGTTATGTTTATGCAAAAGTAGAGTTCAACATATCTGTTAATTTTATATCTTTCAAGGCCTGATGCTTCTCATGATCATGTAAATGTGTATATTCTTCTGAGAGTGCATACATGTTGTTCCAATAACCTAATTTAAATAATTTGAAGGTATTCTATAACCAACAGCTGTGTTTTGGGGCGATATTGCCTTGGATGAGGAGGACCTTCGGATGTTCCACGTGGACCGGACAGTGGACCTGACCCAGCGCACACACTCAGGACACACAACGGGTAAGCGACGACTGTACTATAGAGTACCCATTATCAGAAATTGCTACAGTGGTATTTTAAGATGGGCATTGTACTCAGTTATTGCAAGTAGAAGTGAAGTAGTATAGTAAATAAGGCACTTTACTACAACAACGACCTCTTGCACCTCACTTTCACATCATCACTCTCGCAAACTAACTACCTACAATCTAAAGCAACGGCAGCATTGTTTTAAAGGAAGTTAGGTGGAGCCATCTGAGGATATCAACATTTATTGTGCTTTGTCTTGGCTTTGATTCTTGGCTCTCGCGTCTCGTCAGGTGGCCAGGGGGAACAGGAACAAGAAATCTCAAAGAGGCAAGGAGTGCTAAATCTACTGTTGGAGAAATTAAGAAGGCTCGGCTTTGGTAAGTGATTGGATCTTGGAAAGTCAAATCTGATACAAGATATTTTTATGTAGATTTTATTTATGCATGCCTTCTTGATTTTATTCTGCTTTAATTTGTTTGCACGGAGAGCCAAAGCAATTTCCTAGTTTGTGACTTCTTGTTACCCACATGGCAATATAAGGATTCTGATTCTGATATCGTTCAGCCATAAAATATCTTCAAAGTGACATGACTTTTTTCTTCAAGTTGATTTCTTATTTTCAGACCGCTCTGGCTCTTGTAGACCACTTGTAAAATCTATCACAAGACCAAATGAACCCCCTTGGACTGACATGACTTTTGCCGCTATATTTTTGTAGATTACCCAGTAAAGAGCAACAATACGAAAGAACACACAAGCTCTAAACTCCCCAGTGTGAAAGCTGTCAGGACGGGCTCAGGAGTGAAGGGCCGTTTCCCTCGGGCCGCCACCTCCAGAGCAGAGCGGATCTGGCCTGGAGGAGTCATCCCCTACGTCATAGGAGGAAATTTCACCGGTAAGCAACTCCTGTTTTTGGAACTCACTTGTATGTGTATTATTTTTGTCTCCAGGTTTTTAAATGTCACACGGTTTGTGATCCTGGTCTGTGGAAGGCACTATACAAATAAACTTTACTTTCTTACTGCTTCTAGGGCATGGGAACCAACCATCTGACACAGGGTCCCTTGAAATATTTTGTGTAGGCACGTGTGCAGTAAGTAGGTTTGTGTTTGTGGGCGACACAGTGGACGCAGTGGTTAGCGTTTGCGTGTTCTCCCTCCAGTGAAAAATCTCTGTGTGGAGTGAGAGACAAATGCCAAAACTAAAATTGTAAAAGGCTTTGTGACTCTGGCCTGTAAAAGGCGCTATATAATTAAGGATTAGTTACTTACTTACTTACTACTTACTTACCATATGAGGTCTGTTGGGCTGCAGACTCTACATGTTTGAGTTGTATCCTTGGTTTTTACAATTCGCTGTCTCAAAGCTGTCTTATTGGCATCTATTTGGTGGTTTTACCGAAAGAGTGCACTGGATAACTTGGATTGTTGTGAGTAACTAGCTGTGCATGTAAACATATTGCGTGTTTGTAAAGCAGTTGTATGTGTGTACGTGTGTGTCCAGGCAGTCAGAGGGCCATGTTCAAGCAGGCCATGCGGCACTGGGAGAAGCAGACTTGTGTGACGTTCATAGAGAAGACGGACGAGGAGAGTTACATCGTGTTCACCTACAGGCCCTGTGGGTGAGTCTGCACCAGCGCTGTGTATGCCGTGTGTGAGTGTGTGCGTGTGTGTGTCAGTGTACGACGACGACGACGAGTGTACCTGCGTGTTTGTCTTTGTGTATGTGCCTGTATGCGTTAATCAGTATACAACATATGTGTGTCTGTGCATGTGATAGCGTTACATGCATGTGTCTGTGTACTGCATATGTGTGTTTGTGTATACTGCATTTGTGTCTGTGTATTGCGTGTTTGTCTGTGTAATGCATGTACTGTATGTACCTTGTATCAGAGTACTGTGTGTGTGTGTGTGTGTGTACTGCATGTATGTCTGTGTATTGAGTGTATGTCTGTGTACTGTGTCTTTGTACTGTGTGTGTGTCTGTGTACTGTGTGTGTGTACTGTGTGTGTGTCTGTGTACTGTGTGTGTGTCTGTGTACTGCGTGTGTGTACTGTGTGTGTGTCTGTGTACTGTGTGTGTGTCTGTGTACTGCGTGTGTGTACTGTCTGTACCTCGAGTGCAGGAGTGACCTTGTCGGTGAGAGACGATACGGTCACTCAACAATGGCTCTGCTTTCCTTCCTGTCCTGCTCCTGTTTCCCTGTCCCACCAATCACAGCTTTGTCCAACTGTTTGTATGTTGTGTGTTGGACTCACATGCAGCACTAGTGCATTGTTCTGTGGACTGCAGGGTCATAGTGTGTTTTTACAGTGCTTATGCTCCCCTCGTGTTTTAGAGTGGCAATCAGGCTAAATAACACACAACACACCAATGTACTGAAGAATGCCTTGTTCTGTGTGTGTAGAAGAAAATGAAAGTGCATTATAGATTGTAGATGCCTGTAAAGCTGTTACAGTGGTTAAAGAGAAAACTACAAATGTGCTGTAAAAAAAAAAAGGCCATTCTTCTCTGGTGACTCCTACAATCAGCTCAATGGATATCATTAATCAGATTTGTTGGCCTGGCACGAATGTCTCTGTGAACCACAAAAAGAAACTGTTCATGTTTGTGGGTTTCTCTTCATCTGCAGAGGTGTGGGAATGCTCACAGCAGTTGTAACAGCACTTTTATCAAAGATGTTTTCGCTAATAACTTGTGATATTTTTCCTCTTGTGGCCATTGCACAGCAGAGGAAATCCTGAAAATGTTTGGCTTGAGTGTGTATCTTGGGTCGGACATTGTTTTGGCTGTGTTCCTTTTGTAAATTGCTCTTAAGTATCTAATGTTATCTCACATCTTTAAACTTCCCCCTAATTCTCATTATAAGGTGTTGTTCCTATGTGGGTCGCCGTGGCAATGGGCCCCAGGCCATCTCCATTGGGAAGAACTGTGACAAATTCGGCATTGTGGTGCACGAACTGGGCCACGTCATTGGCTTCTGGCATGAGCACACACGGCCGGACCGAGACAACCATGTGACCATCATCCGGGACAACATCCAACCAGGTGACTGCGCTCACATCTCACTGTTCACCATGATCAACTCTGCATTCTCCACTCCTGTATTTACATCCCCCACTGTGGGACGAATAAAGGATCTCTTCATATTAATCTTACATAATGTATTTGTACAGTTTATGTCATTGACTTTCCTTGTATCCAGTGATGCAACACTAGTTTATGAAAACAACATCTCTCTACTGTAGGTCAGGAGTATAACTTCCTCAAGATGGAGCCAGGGGAGGTCAACTCTCTTGGGGAGCCATATGATTTTGATAGCATCATGCACTATGCCCGGAACACATTCTCACGGTGAGTTCTGCCATAAAACCCTTATTAAACATTAAATATGTTTGTAATGCCACTGTAAAGTCACGATCTAACCTCCCTCAGGCAACCCAAAATGAAACTGTGAGCGTTAAAACGGTGTTGTGAATATCTGGCCGTATTGTATCCTGAATCACCACTGACTGCAGCATATTAGAGAACCAATTAGAACACAGGTAATGCAATAAAAAGACCTGTTGGGTTATTTACGTAAATATCCATAAATGTCCTCCCAGCATCCCCGGTCTTGAACTCATTTGACCATTCAAACTACTTAATATGTGGCATACTCTCAAAATGAGTCATGGTGATTCTCAAACTGAAATGTGTTTATAGAAAACATGGCATTCATAGAAGTATGTTGTATTTAGAGCAGCAGATGTTTTTCTTAATTGTTTTTTCCACATAAAGGGGCATGTTCCTGGATACCATCCTCCCCTCCAGAGATGAGAATGGAGTGCGTCCTGCGATCGGCCAGAGGACCAGACTCAGTAAAGGCGACATTGCACAGGCAAGAAAGCTGTATAGGTGTCCAGGTACTGACGTGTTTACTATCTGACCACTGTGAATAGACTGGGACTAGGACCAAGACCAGGACCAAGACCAGGACCAAGACCAGGACCAAGACCAGGACCAAGACAGGACCAAGACCAGGACCAAGACCAGGACCAAGACCAGGACCAAGACCAGAACCAAGACCAGAACCAGGACAAGGAGGTGTCCAGGTACTGCTGTATTTACTATATGACCACTCTGACCAGACTGGGATTAGGACCAGGACCAAGATCAAGACCGGGACCAGGACCATGAATGCTGTATAAGTGTGACCAGCATGTGACTATACAGCCAGGACAAAGATCAGAACCAAGACCAGGCCCAGGACTGGAACAACGACCAAGACCAGAACCAAGACCAAGAAAGCTGTGTAGGTGTGACCAGAATGAGAATATATGACCAGGACCAAGACCAGAACCAAGACCAGAACCACGATCAAGATCAGGGACAGAACTTGGACTAAGATCAGGACTGTGTGACCAGACTGTAAATAAAAAACCAGGACCAGGCCCAAGACCCATGCCGAAGATGAGACCAAGACCAAGACCGCTAACCCATCGTTATTCCGCCTACACACGCACATGTCATACATACGGATAAGTAGTACTAGAAGAAGTAGTCTCACATGGATACAGGCCATAGGTTGATCCTTGAATTATTTAGACATAAAGGTTTATACTAGGTTTTGTCACATTATAGCATGTATGAGTAAATTCCAAACAAGATATTTTCTTTAATTAGAGCAACATTAGACAGAATAATTAACTATTCATGCATATTTCAATTCAACTTAGAAGTGAAATGTGAATGTGGAAGCCAAAGGGAAGCCAACAAAAATATCTTGACTCCAAAAGTAAATAATGCAAATGTGAAAACACAATGATGAAGTTAGTGAGTACATTATATTTATTTATACAGCACACTTTACAGCACACTTTGAGTTTGGTGTAATATTGGACTAGACATGACCCCATCTGCGTGTCTGTCCTTCAGCCTGTGGAGAAACGCTTCAGGACTCTACGGGGAACTTTACGTCCCCAGGTTACCCCAACGGATACCCCTCCTACACCCACTGTGTGTGGAGGATATCAGTTACCCCCGGGGAGAAGGTGAGCCACACTTAGCTCACTCACCTACACAATAAGAGGCTGTGTACTGATAATGTCACCGATTTTCCAGATTATTCTCAACTTTACCACCATGGACCTGTACAAAAGCAGCCTCTGTTGGTATGATTATATTGAAGTTCGGGATGGCTACTGGAGGAAAGCACCACTGCTTGGTAAGTGGATCTAAAGTATTATCTGGGTGCTCGACCTCAGCTGACAGAGAACCTACAGCTTTCAGAAAGATCGGATTTGGTGGAGATTTTATTGTCCCTTGTCATCCTGAACTTTTTTATTCGGTTTTCTTTAAATCCACACTTTACTGCCACAAACTCTGCTCATTTCCTTCCCGCTCTGACGCCACTCTACCGCTGCTCTGATTGCGCAAAGCATCATGTCCACTGCGCAGAACCGGGAGGACCAGACAATGCCCAAATATGGGCGAGTTCTGCTAATCTCTTGGCCCCCGAGTATGTTCCATGCGCTACTGAGCACAAACCATTCATTTGAATAGGGCGCCATCTTGGATCGCCGGGGCTTGGCATTAACCATGATAATAAATTAATAACAATAATAATGATAATACAATAATAATATGAATAATAATTACCATATCAGAAGGTAATTTTGTTTAGTGTCCAAATCATACCCCTTGGATTAGGAGTGGACTGAACGGGTGCTGACGTCACCCATAGTGTTTGCCGAAGGCAGAAAAAGCCGTTTTCCTTATATGGGCATTTTTTCCCGACAGCGTTAGCTTTTCGCGCAGTAAAGGTTTTTATTAGTAACTAGTAAAAACGGTAACTAGTTTTTAAAGACGTACTGAACTGTAAGATTGAACCTAGTGCATATTCCAACTGCATTGTCTGTATGGATTGTCTGCTTATTGTGTGTCTCTGTCTCTGTGTAGGTAGATTCTGTGGCGATAAAGTTCCAGACGTTTTAATTTCCACCGACAGTCGAATGTGGATTGAGTTTCGCAGTAGCAGCAACTGGGTGGGGAAAGGTTTCGCTGCTGTGTATGAAGGTAAATCAATCAATCAATCAATACAAAATGTTTATTTCTGAACATGCACATACACGTTTTGCTTCTGCACTACCACCTCCTCACCCACTCAATTCAGAAAATATAATGGCATACACAAACTTTCCTCTTAGTCCGTCATTATTGTGACCAAATCTTTCTTGGAGTACATTATTTACAGAGATTTTACAAATTCCCTGAACCTCATCTGCTCTCTTTGATCCTGGTGTTTATATTTTAATATTGTTTCCAGATGAAGGACTACACTAAATATATTATTCTTACTGCCTATTACTGTACAACTTAATGCGGTTCCCCATCGTCATAAATATGCATTCTTTTAAAATTTCTGTTCACTTTAGGATGCTGTCGTTACCTTTGTTATTTTAATTAAATGAACAGTGGAATAGTGTGTCGGTGTCTAATGTGGACATTTTATATAACCCTAATGGCCTTTATTTAGCTGATTATGCCTCTTCAAATATTTGTTTAGGTTTTTTTCCCCCCTTAACTATCCTTTTGATTTGCAGCCATTTGTGGTGGAGACATCACCAAAGATTCTGGACAGATCCAATCCCCCAATTACCCCGATGACTACAGGCCCTCCAAAGAGTGCGTGTGGAGAATCAGCGTGTCAGAAGGATACCACGTTGGCCTCAGCTTCCAGGCCTTTGAGGTGACTCACTCCCATGGTGCTTCTGCAGTGTCTGGGTCAGATTTCACGCTTGTGTAGCCACTATAGGACCACTTTAAACATGGTGCCATCTGGTCATGCGTCTTCTTGTCGTTTGTTAGGCCACAAACATGTCAGGGTGGAAGTCGGAAGCTAATTAAACCCTTGGAAGGTCAAAAACATCACTCTCTTTTTAAGGGAAATGATTTTCAACACAATCATAATTGCTGGTCATAATTCTCACAACTCAGACAGCAGTAAGTGTAAATATATCCATATCTAGGGTCAACATGCACAAATTAGTTTTGACCTTTTCTGAACAAACGTTTTTTATTCATTTTACCAGGGAAAATGCACATTAAGGAACATTTCTGTAAAAGTTCCCGTTTTAGCTACTAAGCTTGTTTTCACCTGTAGTCCCAAGGAAAGGAGGGAAGATGCTATTAAAGTAGAGTTATTCTTAAATAAAAATGCATGATATTTATGTATACAATTTTCAACCAGATTATCCAATCAGAGCACAGAATGGGCCTCCCATTTTCAAGCTGAAGTTTAGCTTTTGTGGCTATTTTTTTCTCCCCAAAATGCAGAAACGTGTATGTAAATGAATGGAGATACATTAATAAGTCGTCATACGTAATACACAGAGTTTAAACCATTTCCAGTTAAACCCCAGCAGGTGGATCCGTGCTTAGGAGCTACATGTGTCACAGACAGGAAGATTCTGGAAACAAAAGTGTGATTGTAATCACACTTTGTGATTACAGACCAAAATGTGCATATTACGGCCCCTTAAAAACAGCATTTTTTTTCCTCTTCTCCACAGATCGAGAGGCATGACAGTTGCTCATATGACTACCTGGAGGTCCGAGATGGCCCTTTAGAAACCAGCCCTCTGATTGGGCGATTCTGCGGCTACGACAAACCCGAGGACGTGCGCTCCACCTTCCACACTCTGTGGATGAAGTTTGTGTCGGACGGGACGGTCAACAAAGCTGGTTTTGCGGCCAACTTCTTCAAAGGTTTTCCCTATTGTTTATCCGTCCATTCCACTGTAAGGATAAGTGTGTTGTTTACTGTGTGCTTTAATGCGTTCCAGAGGAGGATGAGTGTGCCAAGCCGGATAACGGCGGTTGTGAGCAGAGATGTGTAAACACTCTGGGCAGCTTTAAGTGTACCTGCGACCCGGGGTTCGAGCTCGCCCCGGACAAGAAGAGCTGTGAGGGTATGTACGCAGTCATGTGACTTTCCCCATTGTTCTTTCATTTATTTCAGTGGGAGATGAATGTAAATAGATTGCGTTCATGATCTGAAAAAAAAAAAAAGTCTGAAAGTCTGTTTTACTGGAAAACATGTTTGTGCCTATGTTTTTTTTTTTTTTTTAATAACATAAATTCTAAATACTTTATTGAGAAAATAATTTGACCATAATTGACAACGAAGATGCAGACATTTGTGTGAGTTTCTGTTTCCTGTTGATGGGCCAAGGGAGAAAATAACTCAAAATTATGTTTAGACTTTTGCCACTTTTTTCCATCTGTCCTCCACCACAATTTTAAACTATAGGCTAGTGGGAATGTTATGATGTCACATGAAGGCAACCTATTGTTATGTTAGAAAACATCCAAACCAACCAACAACAGGAAATAACAGACTACGGAACCACCTGTGTCTTGCCAAGTAAACAAAATGCAATTAAACCTGGTATTAAATGACTCATATGTGTTTAGCTGCTTGTGGTGGACTCCTCTCAAAGCTGAATGGAACTATCAGCACCCCTGGCTGGCCCAAAGAGTACCCCCCCAACAAGAACTGTGTGTGGCAGGTGGTGGCACCCACGCAGTATCGCATCTCTATGCAGTTTGAGACCTTTGAGCTGGAGGGGAACGAGGTGAGCTTGTTCGTCAATTTGAATACTAATCGTTTCTCATGGCTCCACAGCTCTAAAAAATATTTACGCCAAACATTACATGTAAACATTCCATGTAACAATTTCCTAGCTCTCAAAAACTGGCTCTACTTTCACATTTTTAGCATTTTTTGGCCTCTATCACTGTCATCATCTATTTAGATCAGATTATTAAGTAGAAAAAAAAATACCCTGTCTTTCAGCATGTAAAAGATAGAGACAGTATGTTGGGGTCAGATTTGTTCACAAAATTAGCAAGACTAATTGTTATGAAACCAAAAAACCCTAAATGAACCAATTACAAATCTGTAATATTGTTACAATCTTATCGTGGTGAGTATTCCAGTGTGTATTCCATGCCAATAGACACACTATGTATATGTTATGATATTAAACTCAAATTGGTTTTGACATTTTCACACACTGAAGTATATTTATCAGGGGTTTGTGTGATTAGCACCCCTTAAATCTGGTACCTAACTTTTTGAAAGAATCTTGTAAAAGTAATTTTATGTGAACAAATAAGACCGAAATATGCTATCTTCATCATATTAGAAAACATCTTTTGCGTACTTGTAAGCCCTATAGCAAGTAACAAAAGTCACTATTTGACGCTTTAGCCTGAGATTGGTGCGTGGTCCTTTCTTTCTTAATTTTCTGTCTGAAAAAGTTGATCTAAAGACATGAAAAAGTAGTGATAGAACCCAACTGTTTTATGGAATAAATTAATGAACAACAGAGAAATGTTGTAGTGATATTACTTTACTATTTTTTTCTACTAAATATTTAACACGATAAATCTGATATCAAGATATCTATCTTAATTGTTTCTCATTTTAGAATTCTTGATATGCTAAAATTACTTTGGCAGGTAGGGCTTTCTTTCTTATTTTCTTCACACAACAAGTCTAGTATTATTTTTTTAGAGGGGGCCACTTTAGTTCACGGGTATTATCTGGATTTTTAAATCTTTTCCTTGCAAACATGCCTGTGTTCATGGAGCTAAGTTAGCAGAAGGCCACACACAATGACACAGAGGGCCACATCTGGATCCTGGGTCTTAGCTTGGACATGCCTGGACTGGATGCTTGCTTTTCAGCCTATCTATTTGTGGCTCTAGGTGTGTAAATATGATTATGTGGAGGTGCGCAGTGGCCTGTCGTCGGACTCTAAGCTCCATGGGAAATACTGCGGCAGCGAGGTCCCTGAGGTCATCACTTCTCAGTACAACAACATGAGGATTGAGTTCAAGTCGGACAACACAGTCTCCAAGAAAGGGTTCAAGGCTTACTTCTTTTCAGGTGAGGTTTCTGTGTGTGTGTGTGTGATTCTATCTTGTACTTTTTATTTGTTTTTAAAACCCCATTTCCATAAGAGTCTTACGGAAATTACTTTTACGCTGCACTGTTTTAATATGAATTTTTTAATCTTATTTTGTTGTCATTTTTTTCTGTGTTTAAGTGCTCTTGTTAAGCACTTTGAATTTCTCTACACACAAACATATTGATTGATCGTGTGTGCATGGGCGTCTGGCTGCGTTCCACATTGTGCCAAGCATAGTGTATGTTTTAGTTTTGGTTTTAATTATAAAATTAAGGATGGAGTGTAATCCACTGAAAGATTTCTCGCCAGAAAATAATGCATGTGACAGAACAAAATTGCTGCCGTTTCTTTGAACATTAAAACTCTTCAGCAGCTAAACAGACCTGGCTTGGTAAAAATCTTGCGCCACACTGACAAGCATTTGGAACATAGCGTTGGGCCATGTGTCGTGTTTAGAACCAGGCTCTAACTTTTTAGTTATTGTCATGTCGCCATCGGGTTCAGTGGTGTATTTCTGCTTCCAAATTCAAACTACAGCCGTGGAGCCAGACTGCAAATATGTGAATGTAAATGTGCACTTTATTTATCCACATAGGGAACTTTGTCCTCGACAGTGTCCCTGTTAGTTAGCAGACAGGGAGATTGTGAAATAAATGTATTGTACGGACCAAACATACAGTAGCTAGACAAAGTAACTATGGAAACAAGTTTCCCCCATAGTCCTTAGTTACTCCTGGGGCAGAGGCAAAGTGACAGCAGGTTTACGCTGTGCACAGAATTAATAAATGAAAGAGCCTACTTAATCAATTTTCTATATTGACAAAATTAAGACTGTACTGAGTGAGGGAGTGTGTGCGTGTGTGTGTGTGTGTGTCCTCTCCCTGATCTCCAGTAGCTCCTCGCTCTTCTGCTCAGCTCCTCTTCCCTCTCTCCCTCAGACAGACCCGCTCAGTGTCATCACCGTATGTTTGTGTTTGAGTCGTGCCACCACAATAACCGTAACCGCAACAGGCTGGGCACCTCCGCTGTGGTTGGAGGTAACATGATCCTGCTACACATTTCTGATTGGCCCGCACTGGCTTCAGTATGTGGGGCAATGGAATGATTTGATCCATATCGACTGCATGGATCTATGAGAATCTATTCTTCTTGAGCATAGAAATGTGCTTCATGTCAGAATGATATTGGCATAAGACATTGAGTTGTATTGTTTTTGTGTGGAACTTTAAAACAATAGAAACCAAGTGCTTTTAAAATATATTTTCTGTGTTGTGGTCTCGTATGAATCTCTATTGTGTATTGCAGGGGTCTCCAACTTGTAGCTCACCGCCCCTTCCATAGCTCCCCAAAAGATTTAGAATATAACAAATATAACACTATTGTGAAGGCAAACTTACTTGTGCACTGAAAACACATGAGGGATGATTAATAATGACATATTGATAGTGTCCGTATCTCAAACTTGCTCTCTTCCATACATACTGATTTTTCCAAAAAAAATAGCTCTCCAGGGTAAAAAGGTTGCAGACTCCCTGGTATAGAAATTTATACCAGACCAATTTATCTGGTAAAGATCTCCTCAGGTATAAAGAAGCTTATGTGTGCAACTTTTAAAATCAAATCAATTCACCAATATTTTTGTAGAACCCAAAAATTACAACAATGTTGATTTACCAATAGTAAATTCACACATTGAACACAAATAGTATATTCCCATGAGCAACAACTAGAACATCTTCAAAGTATGGCCCCATTCCCAACCCTGACCGGTTGCCTTTGTGGTATTGTAGGATGGATCAAATGCAGAGGACTATTTTCCCTACTGAGGCAATAAAGTATACCGTATAACTACAGTAACTACAAAAGGTACCAGGAAATGAAAATGGACAACAATGAGAAAAGCTGAGATGATAAATGATGGTGCTCTCGTTGAGTCTTTCTGACCAATCACAGCTCAGTATCATTCCTGCAGCGTGATCCAAATCCAACTGCCCTGGAATGAAGTGGACAGGGCACCTTAAGCCTGACCCATACAGGTTTTGTTGTTGTGTGTAGTGGCACTTTTCCAGCAGCTTTAGGGAGGCCACCGTCCAACATGCCACACTCCTAAACCATTTGAGTGTGTGCATACGGACGTGTTGTGGGATAACCTGAAGAGAGCCACAATGACCACTGTGTAGCATCAGGCAAAGCCTCTTAGCGCTGATAGAGTGAGAATGAGCCCACAATAGCACCGTAATACCACATCAGACAGGACAAACACACACTGAGCAATGGCATGGCACAGGAGGTTCCTTCAAAACAGATCCATTGGGTGTGGAGATCTCTGTGACACCAACTGTGACATTTGTGGCCTGCCCTGACCACACCGGCCTCACCGTGCAGCTGCTGGGGCTTTGTCATCACCGACCACACTCAGACCACGAACTCAGACCAGAGGTTGGAAATGAGTGAGGAGACGTGACAATACACAATACATTCAAAACAATAAGCCATCGCCTCTCTGGGTAATCAGAGTAAGCTTTAAATATTTGAACTATTTTAGCCAAGGCACAGTAGGATTTCTATTTTAAACTATATCGTAGTCATATTTCTATTGGCAATCAACAGCGATTCTTTGACGCCCTCTGAGTCGGCCGCTGTTGTGATTTTGGGAAAAATGAAAGGATTTGATTATAATTTGTATTACTGCTTGACTTTTAGGACTTATATGCAATCTCTACAGCTCCATTACGTGTCTATAATGTCCATTTTAAAGAGAATCCAGCAAAAAACTGAAATATTCTTCCAAAATCGTTCAGTTTTGATGCTTATTGAATGACTTTAGATTACTAATAGCCATATTTTAATAGTACACCACTGTATTTCACCCTATGCATTGTGATTCCATTGTATTTGTGCACCTTACTGAGTTAGTAAATCCTCAAAATATTCTGTTTTTTCACTTTCAAGTATCCGTCGGAAATTCTAACACCTTTTCTCTGATTCACCACTTTCCCTTTGCATAGAACTCACCCAGTAGTGTTGCTGCCGCTCCATCATCGTATACCTGGACATCCTAACAGTTGGAATAGTAATAATATGTTTTTTTTTTCCATCTGCAGATAAGGACGAGTGCAGCAAAGACAACGGGGGCTGCCAGCACGACTGCATCAACACAGTGGGCTCGTACATGTGCCAGTGTCGCCACGGCTTCGTCCTGCACGAGAACAAGCACGACTGTAAAGAAGGTGGGTTCCACTCGCACTGGCATGGACACGCCCACTACGGTCACTATGGATACGCCTTCACACACCTACACGTGCACAGGAGCAGCCCCAAAGCTCTGCTCTCACAGGGGGCAGGGCAAGACAGACTGACCGGCTACATCTGATGGACACGAACAAACTGGTGCAATATTTGGACTTTTTTGGAAAGGTTGTCCACACAGCAATACATTCACATTCTGAAGATCCCTGGTTTTTCTGCTGTCGGTACATGCACTCTGTTCTTTTTTTATATTTATATTTCTGGAGGAATCAGTTTATTATAGCTATCGAGTTGCAAAATTATAAGAATTATCAAAGATGTAAACTCTCCATAGGAATCAATACGAATTTGAGGGAATTAATAGAACATTTAATAGCAGAGGTTGGCTCTTCATTGGAAACATTATTGTTGAGGACAGTATACTTTGGTATATTTTTGACTAAAACAGACAGACGACATTCAAATACACTTAATAATAATATCAATGTCATTCTTCATTCCCATGCACATAGCATACTGGTTACTGTGGCTCTTATTGAATATTTCCAAAATTCCCCAGCTTAACTTTCTGGGAAAACAATATGGGAAATGTTCCACCCCATTGTATCCCTAATCATAGCAACCTGGGATTGTTTTAAATACATCCATGCATATTTACTTAAAAAAACAAAAAAACCTCCTAAATTAGTTTTGAAACTGTATCCAGTAAAACTCAGTTCTTTACAATCACATGACTGTATTTGGAGCTGGTCATTTTCAACCTTTTTTTTTAACCTGGTGGCAGCATAGGGAATTACAGGCAGATAGCTTTTTTCTATTCTTGATACTTGTTTCTCCATACATTTCTACTGAAAACATTATTTCATATTCTAAAACATAAAAAGACAATGTCCCATCATCATATTTGATGGCTAAACAAAATGCATGATATTTATTTTCACATACATACAGGGAAGGTTCTAATCAACACAGCAATTTTCAATAAAGAAGTTGCTGTATTTGAGTCATATTTGATTGTATTTGCAAAATTGTCCAAATACAAATTGTCTTCCACACTCATAAATTATAGGACACGGAGCACACTTTATGTCCTGTTTGATGCTAGTGTATGTTGTGCTTTCTCTCTGTTTGGACAAAATGTACAGTCCTCATCATACATGACATGATGGACATGAACATTCTTGCTTTTATTCCTCCTGAATGAGTTCTATGACACATAAGGTTTAAGTGCACATCTCACCAACTTGCAGCTATCACATCCATATTATTCCCACAGGGATGATTATAGGTGTTTATTTCATGTTTTACTTTTTTAACCTATTTTTTACAGTGCTGTGATCACAGAGTAAAATATTATGTGTGTGTCCTTTTATACGTCTCAGTGTTTTTCTGTCTTACTTTCCTCCTGTACAAACTCAGTGTCTGTGAATAAACATCTTCATTCTTTCACTCATTGTCTTTGTAACTGCTCATTGTCTTTCGCACATGTCGTTGTCAATTCTTCTATATCACGGGCACCCAAACTTTTAGATTAAGTGCCATGCTGAAATAATGAATAGCAAACAGAAACATAAATAAATAAGCTATCCGTGAAAGTATATAGTTTCAAACAGTTGCCTTTAGCAGCTTAGACAGATCCTCTATAGTTTTTCCATGATCCTAAATCACTAATTTTTGGATTTACAAGAAACAATAATTCATAGTCGTTACCATCCATCCATCAATTTTCTCCCCCTTAATCCATTTCTGGGTCGGGGGGGTGGCAGTCAGAGCTGCACCCAATTCACATAGCACCAGCCCCTCACTGATCCTCTGCAGGTGGTTTTAAGCAAGTTCCTCATGTCATAATTTGACAGTTTGGTTGCATGTGTTTTTTGTTTTTGTTAAAAATAGTCATATAATAAAATATTTATTAACCTCGCTTGCTCTGTAAAGACCTCGCGCTTGTTTAATAAACCGTTAATATTCAACTGTGGGCTGTACCGGCCTCTCCTCTAAACGTACATGTGCAAATCTTCATTCCTGCTGTTTATGTATTCTAAAACAAATCTATTCTTTATTAGAATCTAGTTTCAATACTAGTGCAAGTATCGATTTGAAATCAGATTTTCGATACTTTTGTCAAACCTACCTGGTGTCAAACTGGTTCCAGAAAAGGCCAGTGTGGCTGAGGTTTTCACTCCAACCAAGCTGAAGCACACCAGACTTCACCCATTTCCTCAAGTCTTCAGGTTTAAACTGGACTCATGGTCATTGTATAGTACAATTCATACAAAATACAAACCAAAGCTCACATTGACAATAGAGATAACATAGATAAAAATGAAAGAAAAAAAAAACACAAAAATAAATGCATTTCTCAACACTGATTGCAGAAGCATGAGTAGAGCGCTTGAGGGCCATTGACTAAAGCGCAGGGGGCCAAAACGTTCCCACGGGTCAGAGTTTGGACAGCCTGTTTTATACGTGCATGATATCCAGCTGACACAGTCTGCCATGTGAATGCATCTGTGCTGAACCCCTCTGTGTTCTTTGAAATTCACTTTCCTCTCTCAATTTCCTCATTTTTCTACTTCCTGTTCCTCTTTCCTCTCCTTTTGGCCGCTTTCCTGTGCAGCAGTGACCCTGGCTTCCTTTGAGTGTGTGTGTGTGTGTCCAGATTGAATATCACAATCATCTATGGACAGGATCATTGCGATTAATGATGATTAATAATTATTATAATTCATTTAAGATTTCCAAAATCTCAAATTTTCAAGATGTTCATATATCAGATTCAGAATTTGAATCTGATATTTGTTTTTCCTTTATTCTATAGGTTGTAGAATTCCATTTCAGTTGGAGGACAGGTGGTAATACATCTCTATGAGGAAATAAAGCCATTTTTTGAAAGCAATGTTTAAAAATAAATAGTCCAAATGTTTTCTCAGGTCATTGTTTGATTGTGATTAGATTCACAAATATACCATATTATTCTTATGTCTGTTTTTAAAAAAAAGTCACAATGTCTAGACAACTAAAGAATATAATGAGACCGTAGTCAATACTTACTGACAAAGAAGATGTGGAACTTTGTAAAAGTTCTTGTTTCATGTGGATTGGCCCAGCGATTACAGCGATTACAGAGACATTACTGTCAGAAGTTTGACTTTTGACAGTAATTCCAGGAAAGATTGTTGAGCTGCCTTCCACCACAGTGTGAAACTATAGTATAGGTTCTTTGGAAACAATCACAACCTTTTGAGTAAATATGGTCACAATTCAAATCACTTAGCTGCAGTTTATTTCTGACACAGGGGAAATAGTCATAAAACAAACTTTTCTATACATGTATATAAAATGGTAAAAATATAATCCTGATTATACATAATGTGCCATTGCAGTAAATGATATGACTGTGATTGTTCCATCACTATGTCCAGCCGAGTGCGAGCACCAGATCCACAGTTCCATCGGCGTTCTGAGCAGCCCCAACTGGCCCGACAAGTATCCAAGCCGCAAGGAGTGCACCTGGGACATCCGCGCCACTCCGGGCCACCGAGTCAAGATCGTAAGTCCTGCAATACTTACCACCATCCAATCCAGATTACAAGTTGAATAGCTGCAGTTTGAATGTTGTCCCACAAACCCTAATCTTTGCAAAACAATGCAAATAGTAATGCAATGTTTTCGGCTTTCTTCTGCTTTACTATCACAATGACTTTGCTATGATGTGTGTGGTACTCCTTTTGTTCTAATAGCTGCATTTAACACAACATGGTTTTCTTAACAAACATTGCTCACATTTGACACAAGATCTTTCTTAGTTTTGAATGTTTTGTGAAGTTCATTGTCTTGCTTTCTTGTTGGATAGGAGCCTCATATGTGGCAAGGACGGGACAAAGAAAACATACCATAGCAAACGCAAAGTAAACAAGGGCCAAAACTCATTCACGCAATGTGGATTTGTTGAATTAATATGAAATGTGCCTCGTACACAATTTTCCTTTGACTTCGATGATTATGTGGGAAGATTCTATTTTAGGTTTTTTGAAAATGAATTTACTTTTGATGGTACTCATGATGGTACAAAAGCTACTTTGAGCCCTATTATCATTTTTTACAGTGAACCATTTATATATATACATAACAATAATAGAAAAGATATGAAAACCAGTACAACCCTGAGAAATGTTGACTTTAGTTGGTTTAACAAGTACTGTCTTTATTACCATCTACCTTTGCTGTGGAAAGGCAAAGGTAGACGGTGGACAGTGGTGAAACAGCACATGATGGGGCTTCCACCCTGCGGCCCACAAACATGAAATCTCCATATGAACTCTGAGCATTATCCAGCCATACAAACATCACTCTCCAAACCCCTGTGAGATATTTGTCCCTCTTGTATGTCTGCAAAAGCCTTAGGCCTGCGTCTCCTCTCTGTTCCACTTTCCGCTGAGTGCAGTCTGAATGAGGTGCTCTGTGAGAGTGTGCTCATGCGTCAGTCCGGCCCAGGGCTCTGACCATCTGGCCTGAGTCCGACAGCGTGAGGCTCCGTCCTGGGTCTGACAGTGAGAGGCCTACATTACAGACACATGCAAGTAACGTGAGGCTTCATGTGTCACACGGACACACATGCACCAGATACACTGTATGGCAGAGGTCGGGAAGCTTTGTAGCTGAGCGAGCCAAAAAAGTCTCATACTTTAAAATATATTTCTGTTGAAGCCATACCTTTTACTGTTATAATGTGTAATTTAGTGTGTAATATTATTTTTAGAACATATTCTTTTGTTTAACAACAATTTTTATGTTGAATAAATCCATACTGAAAACTGTCTTACTATTAATGCCAGCTAAGAAATTTGTGAGAGCCAGACACAATCATCAAAAAAGCCACTCTCTGTTTTTACTGACTAAAACAAGTGTGTTATTGTATTAATGAATTGGATTTGTTTTATTCATTTTATTTATTTGGTTCATTTTATTAATGACAAACATTTTATTAATAACAATTTGAAAAGGAAACACCTCTCGCACACTGTTCTTGCATACACATTGTTTAGTTTAACAGATGTGCCATGTTTCAGCCTTCAGCAGTTACTCATGTGTGAATAAACACACTGGTGTTTGGAAGTACAGAATGCAGGGCCTGCGCTAATGCACCTGTCACGGACGTGCAAAGTTGTCTGATTTTTACATTCATGACAAATATGAGCTCATGTAAATCCTGACATTAGATCATAAACAGAATATTAACTATGTAAACACAGCAACAGTGTTACAAAGGATTGAAAAGAAATAAGAAAAACAAAAACAAAACATAGATACTATTTTATTAGGTTAGGTTAGGTTAATTTATTTGTACCCGTGGGTAAATTCGTTTTGCAATTCTGAGAACTAGTCGACACATTAAAACACATTTCAAAGATAAAACATCATACATATAAAATACAAAACTTATAAGTGCTCCACATACTAACAGGATGTGCCTTTGGTACAAAAAACAACTGAAATTTAAGCCACTTGACAGTAACAAAGATAAAAAACCTGTGTCAGGGGCAGTTTGATCCCGACTTGTTCATAAAGGAAAGGGCAGCGGGAACAAAGCTTTTCTTAAAACGGTTCGTGTGGCTCATTGGCATCAAAAACCGACGCCCAGACGGAAGCAATCGAAACTCTGAGTGCAAAGGATGCTCTGAGTCTTTTGCGATGCTTCGTGCCATCCTCTCTAGCTGTCTATCATGCAGAAAGTCTAAACTGGTCTGAGGCTGGCCAATGACTTTACTTGACCACTTCAAGGCGTTTTTGTTTCTAACAGAAGAGCTCCCGTACCAGGCGACCAGGCAGAAAGCTAGGGTCGCTTCGATGAATGCCCGATAAAACAGTGTCATCACAGTTTTATCTACATGAAAGAAGGACAGTTTCCGAAGACAATACAGTCGTTGGTGGCCCTTTTTACAAACAGCAGCACAGTTTTCATTAAAATTCAGTTTGCAATCAATAATTGTTCCAAGATACTTGTAGGACTCCACACACTCCACTTGTTGTCCCTTTATATATGTTACAACATGTGGGAGAGTGCTCTTCCTAAAGTCGATGATCATATCTTTTGTTTTTGCAACATTCAAGAGAAGATAAGACTCATCACACCATTTGACAAAATCCTCAACAACTGGGCCATGCTGACTTTCATTTTTGTGAAGTAGACTTACAATAACTGAGTCATCTGCGTATTTTAAGATGATTCTGTTTTAATGATCACTCTGACACATGCTAGTGTACAATATAAACAACAGGGGTGAGAGAACAGAACCTTGGGGTGAGCCTGTCGAAACAGTGCACTGATCAGAGAGTTCACCATTGACTCTCACTCTTTGACGTTTTTTAGTTAAAAAGTCAAGAACCCAGCCTACAATGTTTAGGTCAAGATTAAAATGTTCCATAAGTCGTTTGGCAAGCACATATGGTTTCATCGTATTAAAAGCTGACGTGAAGTCAATAAAAATAAGGCGTGCATGAGTCCCCTTTCCCTCCAGGTGTTTGAGGAGCAGATGAAGCAAGGTTATAGTGGCATCCTCAACGCCTCTTTTCGGCCTGTAAGCGAACTGCATGGGGTCAAGTGCATGCTCAGTTTTTCGAAGAATTTCTGATTTTATTAGCTTTTCAAAATGTTTCATAACAATGGATGTTAGTGCTACAGGACAAAAATCCTCCAACCTTTTGGGTCTATTCGATTTAGGGTCTGGAACAATCACTGAATCTTTCCAGATTTGTGGCACATGTTGCTTTTCCAGTGACAAATTAAAAATGTGCAAGAAAATTGAGCTCAGCTCTTTGGCACAATTTTTAAGAGTGTGGCCGCAGATGTTATCACACCCCAACTCTTGTTAATTTTGGTCGACTTAAAGACCTTTTCCGCTTGTTTTTGTGAAATCTCAAAATGTTGATTATTTTTCCAGTTATTTTTAAGTTCCTGAACCTCATTCATAAAATCTGAGGTTTCAAAGCGAGAATAAAGATCATTAAATGCATTTGCCAAATGTATATTAGATTTAAAACCTTCAAGGAGCACCTGACAACTTCCTTCCTTGTGAAGACCAGTCAAGGTTTTCATGCTACACCAAAAGGAGCCCAGTCTGTTGTCAGCCATCTTTTTCTCCAACTCATTTTTATAGCTTTTTTTGGCTCTTAAAATTTCACATTTTAGCGATTTACTAACGTTGTAAAGTTCCATGGCTGATCCCTGCTTAAAAGCTCGCCTTTTTTCCTGTATACATGATTTCACAGATTTATTTACCCAAGGCTGGTTATTCGGGTATAATTTGATCTGTTTAGATGGCACAATCATGTCTCTACAGAAAACCATATATGAACACACTACATCCGTCAGTTCATCCAAATCATCTCCACAACTGTCTTTAAATACATTCCAGTCTGTGCAGTCGTAACATTCCTGTAGACATACTGTAGGGTAGATTCCTCAGTCCAAGTTTTTATTTCTTTAGTCTTGACCTTCTCCCTCTTAAGAACAGTCTTGTATATGGGCATTAGGTGGACACAGTTATGGTCTGATAAGCCCAGTGGAGGGAGAGGTACTGCCTTATACGCGCCCTTCACTGATCCATAACAAAGATCCAAAGATTTCCCCCGCCTCGTGGGGCAGGTGATGTACTGGTGAAAGTTCATTTGGGACTTTTTGAGGCAGATATGATTGAAGTCTCCCAGTATAAAATTGGGCGCATCGGGTGAGATTGACTGAAGCTTCTGCACAGCGTCGTAGATTACATTGGTGGCAAGGGCAGCATTAGCTTTTGGATGCGCGTATACCACCGTAAAGAAGAGCTGTGGGAATTCACGCGGCAAGTAATATGGGCGAAAAGACACGGATAAGAGTTCAATGTCCGGTGTGCACACTTGCTCTCTAACAGTCACAGACTTACAATATCGATTATTAAGATGGAGATTGAAGTTCCACGTTCATATTATTGTTTTTTTTTCCCTACTTCAAGTCTTATTATTATGATTTATTAAAAACGTCTCCTCCGTGTAATTAGGTTTTAGACATGTTTGCACAGTGTTTTTAATTCCAGAGCCCCAAACAAGAGCATTCACAAACCCAATGCCCAAGAATACAGTCGGATATTTTCATGGGGTTGTAGTTTTCACTTGGTTCTAAAAAGTCTTCCATTTCCAAATGTTGGTATTTAAGGCCGTAAAAAGTTGTAATATTAGAGTGGTAAAAAAAAAAAAAATCCAAGTCTAGAATTTAAATAGGAAGCTATTTTTGCTTGAATTCTCTATCTCACTAGAGCGGCCCTGGACTGTTTATTTATTTCAGACAGAACATTTGCATGAGTTTTATATTTATTGTTTCTTTAAAATGCCTTAGTATTACATTTGTATTTATGATCCAGAGGGATGTTATTGTATTTCTACACTTTAGATCCATATTTCTTACTGTTTTAACTGTGAACATCCTCATTGTCTCTGCTCCACAAACAAACCACTCACACAGGACTGAAAGTAATTAGGACTTGGCTGATCTCACTTGACTTCACTTGAGGCCATGTGCAGAAGAATGGTCATCATGTTACATTTGCTGCTAATCTATAAACTGTGGGGGGCTAAACAGATGCAGAACTCAATGTATGTATTTTTAGATAGTTGTATGACTTTACAAATACATTTGCTCAGAGAATACTGCTCTCTGGTCGTAACACATTGCATTCCATTGTCCATTGTGGTGTGTGAATGCTCTGAATGTGTTCAAGTTATTCTGGATAATGTGAACATACTGTATTAGTGTGTAAATAAACACATCATAGGATTGTTTTAGCACTGATAGTTTTATGTTTTCATTAACAAAGGTACCTACAATTTTTCATAAATAATTCCATGTTGTTTGGCAGTTAAAGGATTCTTGTTAGCTTAGCAGTAGCATCCCCCCCTGCCATCCACCAAACCCAACTCCCAGCACACACGTTGTTTCTGTAATAATGCAGTCTGTGCTTGAAATGTGAAAGCACACATGAAAAATCCAACTCAATAACAACTCAGACAGGTGCGAGAGAGGGGGACGAACGCATCCCATTGGTTTATTTCTATCCAAAATATTTATGATTTATTGTCTGAGGTTATAAGCATCTGGTCATGTTCATTCCTATTTGAAAACATATAATTTTGGGGTTTAGGGATGTTTCTCCACAGTATTTTAGATAAATCATTGACTGCATCTTTAAGAATTGAGAACAGATTAGGCCACAGCATGGTGTCTTCATCTTAACACAAAACCACATATTTGCGTACTTCTATGTGACTCTTTGGGCTGAGAGCTGATTGGATTAGGATTAGGAGGAATGGATCTAATCAGAGCTTACATTTGAAATGGTTGTTCATTTCTTCAAAATTGGAAAGTAACTCTCATTCACTTATATTACGCATTCTTCTTGTCCAATAAAAATAATAACAAGAGCATTTACTTTGTCATGTCATGTTTTAGAATGTCAATTAATAGTATAAGTAGAAAATATTTGATGAAACAAACAAGCATGAAGGGTAAGAGGGTTTTAGTCTGTAACTCCCTTTGCTGCCACCGGAGAAGTATTCGAGTCTGTTTATTTGTTTCCAGCTGCAAACACAGAGATGTGATAAAGAACGTAATTTCACTTTAGAAATGGCCAAAACAATTCCAATTGGTCGTTACCTATAAGGGTGATGTCTAAGTGGTATAATGACATCATACTATTACAAGACAGCGAGAAAAACTTTTAGACAGAAGGGGCAGAATTAAAAGTTTGTACCAACATGAGGGTAACATGGGATAGATAGACCTTTATTTTTCTCAGGGGACAACAAAGGTCTAACATTCTAAATATCTATATTGCTAAGTTTCTGATATTAGCATGGATGGAAAGTAGATTTTGGATCCTATGTATCTTGTACACTGTAACCATGTATTTCCGCCTCTCTCCGCTCCACGTTGTAAAACTAGAGCTGCTGTTTCTGCGTCTATAATGTTGTGTGTTTGTTGTGTGTGCAGAGCTTCTCGGAGTTTGAGATCGAGCAGCATCAGGAGTGTGCGTATGACCACCTTGAGGCCTTTGACGGCGACAGCGACACGGCCACCATCCTGGGACGTCTGTGCGGCAGCAAGACCCCAGAGCCCCTCGTTTCCACCGGCAACAATATGTACCTGCGCTTCATCTCCGACGCCTCGGTGCAGAGGAAAGGCTTCCAGGCCTCGCACTCCACCGGTCAGTGCTGGGTATCCTGCTGCTTTCAATGGGTGTTTAGGTGTGTTCGTGTGACATCACCACATTCCAAAGGGCTGTGGTGGAGAGCAATTGATACATTTTACTGATAACTGTGGGAGCTGTCAAAAGTCTGATTTCTATTCTTAGTTTATAGCCCATCCACATCTTCTTACTCAGTACATTTCAACTATGGTCTAATTATTATCTCATAAAGGTCCCGTAAGAGCCAAATATGTGTGAGGGGTCTAGCATAAATGGAAGGTTTCAAACAAGGCCGCACATCCCCATAGCCTGAACTAGCGTGCTGGATATAAGAAAGGTGCACAACATGTATAATAAAGAACAATCTGCACAGCTACGTAACTCCCTAGTGTCTTTTATTTACAGATCACAATAGTCAGATGTGTGATGCAGATTTTTCTTCATTTGACATGGGAAGCATAAATGAGTCATACATGATGTTGTCCAGTAGAAAAGACTTAAGAATAATGTGGTGACAGTGGCTCAGTTGGTAGAAGGTTGTAGGTTCAAATCCACCACGAGACCTACTTCAAGACTCCCTCTGATGACAGCTGTCGTTGTGTCCTTGGGCAAGACACTTAACCCCACTTTGCCTGAAGCCCCCACTGAAAGATCAAGGCTCCTGTCGACTCACCACCTGCAGGAGGATCAGTGAGGGGCTGGTGCTATGTGTACTAGGTGCAGCTCTGACAGCCACCCCCCCAACCCAGAAATGGATTAAGGGGAAGAAAATGGAATAATTCAATAAATTAATTTTTCTTTCCCATTTCTAGAACATGAATGCAACATAAAACACAACCGTAAATTAATAGAACTGCACAAGTTTTTACAAGGTTGGGTTCATGTTCTCACATGTTGACCACGCAAGGTCTGGAAGGTTCTTGATATTTTTATTTTCAAAGGTTAATTTCCCTTTTGTTTATGTATGTCAACAGAAAAAAAACACATTTATGCCATTTCTTGTGTGAGTTGGCCCAACAATAACAAGGGTAAGACAGTCAACATAAAGCGCTTTTTAACATATTGCGACTGCCACTTTGGGAACCACTCACCCACCAGTTCATACGAACATGTAAAGAGACAGCTCCCTCTAGCGGGCATGCCCTCACACTGCACTTATCACTGGGCTCTCCTGTCTTCCAGAGTGCGGGGGGCGCCTGAGGGCAGATGTGAGGCAGAAAAACCTGTACTCCCACGCTCAGTTTGGGGACAACAACTACCCCGGACACACAGACTGTGAGTGGCAGCTGACGGCGGAGCAGGGCTTCGGCATCGAGCTCACCTTCATCACCTTTGAGGTAGAGGAGGAGGCCGACTGTGGCTACGACTTCATCGAGCTCTTCAACGGACGGGACAGCGGTGCGCTCCGGCTGGGACGCTTCTGTGGCTCAGGGGTAAGTTTGTTTGCGTCTGGGCTCTAAGGTCGGTCCAGGGTTTATGAGGATGTGGAACTAATACAGCATGATGAAGATTAGAATGTGAAGATGACAGTGGCCAGTACTTCTACAGAGTATACCTGCATCACTTCTATGGCTTGCGTTTATGTGATATCACCACAAATACTGCATATTTGATTACATATTATATATTACTATAATACTATATACTATAATAATAACGCTTAGTGCTTGACGACACAGTGGTGCAATGGTTAGAGCTTGTGCTTCACAGCAAGAAGGTCCTGGTTTTGACCCCACCTCCAGACCTTTCTGTATAGTTTGTTTATGTTCTCCCCGTTTCTGCAAAGGTTTCCTCCGGGTGCTCCGGTTTCCTCTACCCCTAAAAACATTTACAATAGGTCTGGTATATGCCTCCTGTATGATGACACCGCTCCCATGTGTAGATTGAGAGGGCAAATGCCCACAACAATTGTTAAGCACTTTGTGACTCTGTTCTGTGAAAGGTGCTATATAAATAAAGATTACTTACATAAAGGCACTCAATAGAGCCTATAGTAATGGATTGTGGAGGGTAGTTGAAAGATCTTTGCTAGTAACTATGGTAACTGTTATAATTTAGACTAGTAGTCTAAGTTATTTTCTCTATACAAACAAAGACTGTCATTTCCATGTCTTTTTCAGGACACACACTATAGTCTGAATGTTTTATCATAAAGGTGGCTGGATTAGAATCTGAAATTGACAGTGGCCTAATAATTCTAGGGAGGTGCAAGATGTTCTTTAAATCTGCATTTTGTAGGAGAGGATAATACTGAAAACAACAATACTCCTGCACATTGTAGTAGTAGCAGCACATTACCACAACAACGTGATGAGCGCATGCAGGCTGTTCCCACCCTCCACACTACTTTGAGGGTCGCTGGGCAGAAAATTATTTATCATGGGGTTCACAGACTAAAATCTTTGGCAACCCGTGGTCTAGATGATAATTTTTAAGTGATGTAGCCTTTTCCAAAAATACTGCTAATATCAAACATTAGTTACTTTCTATTTGAGAAAAGAAAACGACTTGTGATGATTAAAGTAATCTGGTAAATCCAGTCTATTTTTACACTAGTGAGTAACATCAGCATCAGTGAATCACACTCAGGTTCAGCGTCACATACAAATCCTCACCTGGCAGCAATCAGGCACTCATAGTGTGAGGAAGCTCCATCCAAGCAGCAGCCTCATTCACGCTGAAACCCTCCTCCTCCCCATCTCCGCCTTGTTCTGGGCCAGGACTGTCACCCTTCTCCTAAAATACCACCACCAGGGACTGGGCCCCGGGGTATTTAATCTCATAATCTCTTTCCCTTCTGCGATTGGGGTCTAAGCACCAAATCCTAACCACATTTCTGTACAGCAATAATAAATGCTGTACATAAATGTGTAATTTATGGTGTCAGATTACTGCCAGCCTAATAACACCCATGTCTCCAGATTGAATGATTCTTTCTCCTTTTTTGTTTCAGCCCAGAGAGGCGATCTACTCTCCTGGAGACACTCTGATGATCCGCTTCCACAGTGACGACACTATCAGCAAGAAGGGCTTCCACCTGCGCTACTCCAGCACCAAGTTCCAGGAGAGTCTTCTGAGCCGGAAATGAGCTCCCTATAGGCCCTTCTCCGCGGGACGTCCGGACTCAAGCAGAGTGCCATTCCAAGTGACGGACACATGATAACAGTTTAACCAATGCAAACACGTGTACAGATACAGACTCATAGCTGGATTTATGAGCTGTCCACTTTTTTAAGACTCTCCAAAGAGACGACACAGTATACATGCCTTTGATGAAGTGAACTGCTTAATCCTATTGTAAAACTATAATTGTGTTTACCGTTTGTTTGTATGAAAGTGTACAGAAAAGTATGTGTGTGCAAGTTGTTCCTTCATTTCTTTTTGGATGTTGAGCAATGCTGTCTTGTGATTAGGGATGTACTGATCCAAATACCAGAATCAGCAAATAGGTCGCATGTAGCTAACGGTTTTATTCTGCTGTATACAGTGTGAAAATGCCCTTACTAATAACACAGAAAACAAGATTTATAAAGAGGCCAAAAGTATTGTTTGAAGCAAGGATGTCTGCCAATGGAGTACAAAAAAAGAATCTTGGTCAAAATCGGTGTTGTAAGATTTCTTCTCTCACCTCTACAATGATACATTTTTGTCAAAAACTTTAAAAATGCTGTAGATTTAGGTACAAGTGTTTTGGTTAAACAAAAACCTATAAGCAATATGTTTATTTTCCCGCTACATGCACAATTTCACATTATTTTGAACATCAAACCAAACTATCCATCCATTTTCTACCCTTTAATCCATTTCTGGGTCAGGGGGGTGGCAATCAGAGATGCCACCCAAGTCTCATAGCACCAGCCCCTCACTGATCCTCTGCAGGTGGTGAGTCCACAGGAGGACAGCTGCTCTCTGACTGTGAGCATAGCCTTGATCTTTCAGTGGGGGCTTTTTGGGCAAAGTGGGGTTAAGTGTCTTGCCCAAGGTCACAACGACAGCAGTCATCAGTGGGAGTCGGTGGAGAAGGTGCAGAGGTGGGAAATGAACCCACGACCTTCTGGCCTTAAGGCCAATGCTCTACCAACTGAGCTACTGTCGCCAAACCAAACTAATGGTGGTGATATAATAATCATAATAATTTGGCAGTGGGTGTTTTAAAAAACATTTCGCCCGGACATAAAACTAGCAACTGGAGACATATTTATTCTTGTATTCATTTAGAAATATCTGTCTTTTTAATTAAATGTAACCTAATAAGAGAAAGCCAGATTGAAATTCTCAAAATAAGTTTCAAATAACTTATTTTAAAGGAAAAGGTAGCTTTTTTTACATTCTTGAAAGAGACCTTTTATTCAATTACATGCATTGCTACTTTGCAACAAGGTCTTGCTCATAATGTGCCCTTACATAGCAGTTCTGGATATGAACCCCCAAAATGATTTTCCATATGCTAAATCCATTATATTGTTGCATATTTCTATCAATTCGGTTATTTTACCCAAGGATTTGTGTCAAGTACAGTATTGTTTAACGACTATTTTTATATATATAATTTAAATACATATTGTGCAGCGCCTGACTTTGCCTTATAATAAAATCTAATTTCTGGTTTTTGAGAGTTGGATCAGTACATCTCACTTGTGAAGCCTTGTTTCTCACTGTGCATCATTTGAATTGTGCTGTAGCTTACCGTCATTGTTCTCGACCTGTTTTTACATCTCTGTGGATTCGGAAAGGGAATATATTTTATAACATGAGCAGGAACATTGGAGATCGGATTCCCTTGGTGCTAAAATACACTGGATGACCGCACTGATGCACTGCTCCTGTGGAACTATACTTTTGCCTTAAACCCAAACGAACTCATAAGGAGGTCATCTGTACTGTCGTTTCAAAGACTCATGCATGTGTGGCTCTTTATAACCAACGAGAACGCACCGCCTCCAAAACTTGTGGAAAAAGAGGAGAATGCACTGCAAAAAAAGGTGGCTCTCAAGGGTCTCATGAGGTGAAAGCCATTAAAGGTGGGGGACCTAACTTTCTCTGACTTATAAATAACACATTTTATTTGTCCCGAAAGAAAAAGAGAGTTATAAAAGTAACATTACGTGAACTATCAGATCTCAGCGTAATGTCGGGGGCGCAATCACTCTCGTTGATCTGGTTCTCTTTTGCTGGATCTATGTTTCGCTTAAGTTCGTTTACACCTTTTGAAACGGATCTATGAAGATTTTTTCCCAAGTGAACCAGTTCTCATGATATCAGAGATTTGTTTCAAAAAAATCTAACTGACTGAGGAGATTAAGAGAGCCCTTTTGTCATAAAATAGACCCAAGCGAACTGAGATTTGCCTATAAACAACATGCTATCTCTTGGTATGGTATGATATGGTTTTTATGTTTACAGGGACGTTGTACAATAAACATTAACCAAGAGGAGAGATGCATTGTACCAGGTTGTAGCAGCAGTGCTAATTTACACCTGTAGTCCTCGCATACTTGAAAGAAAGAGCCCTGTGAGTCACTATTTGGGCTCATAGAGTTTATTTTCTGAGTGAGAGTGGTCCTTTATCACTTTTCTGTCTGAAATAGTTGATGTGAACGAGGCCAAACATACAAGCATGTGAAACTTATGTGGAACCAAACTGTTTTGAGAGAAAGAAACTTGTTAGTTAACTTGTCTGCGGTTTGAAAGTCAGGCACCCCAGCTTTAAGTGAAGGATGTAAATATGGACAAATGGGCTTTGTGAAACTTGAATGATGATGATAATCTTCCTTCTTTTTTTGGGACGGAAAACTTTTACATAATACTCAAGGTCCAAAAGTATTCATTATCTAAGGATTTTGCCATAATTAATTCATCCACATTCCTGTGCTATAACAATATATTTGCAATTGATAGAAACAGCCATTACAAAGACCCTCTCAACATTGTTTGAACCATGGACTTCCTCAAAAAGTAGTAGTAGTAGTAGTAGTAATCTTTATTTATATACCGCCTTTTCACTGCACATCGGAGTCTCAAAGCGGTTTACAATTGTTATTTTTGGGAGTGGGGGTGCCAGTACAGGAGGCACATGCCAGACCTATTGTACATATTTTTAGTGGTAGGGGAAACCGGAGCACCCAGAGGAAACCTACGCAGACACGGGGAGAACATACAAACTTCACTCAGAAAGGCCCTGGTCCAACCGGGATTCGAACCCAGGACCTTCTAGCTGAGAGGCGAGAGTGCTATCCACTCAGCCACCGTGCCAAAAACATACTCATGGTTTTGACATCTTTAAAGTTTGGGAAAATATCCTGGTTGGACATGAGCAGCAGGTTAGAAGTGACCTGAAAAGGGACTGAACTCAAATGTACTGTATGTATTTTTTATTTAGAACATATAATACAACATTTAAATGGTTTCCCTTGTTAAAAATGAATGGAGTTGTCCGCAATTTGGATAGAATTTTGTACAATGAATATCAACTCCCTGGTGAGGTACTTGTTGCACATGTCTTTCAATATTTTCTTTGTATTTTGTCACAAACTGAAGCTTGACTCAAAACTAGAGTCAAAACTAAGGAAAAAGTAACCTAGGAATCAAAACTCGTGCTCAAATATGACATATCAATTACTTTGAAAAGTTTTGGCCAAGTTATATTTCCTTGGTGGACTCAGTAATTGTCTACTTTTTATTCCATTCCATCTTGTCCATTAATTTGCCGAGAGAAAAGGCTCTCTGTTTTTCCTCTTCAAGCCAACATGAATAAAAAACAGCCCGGGAATCCATGAAACAACATAATCAAGGCCATACAAGCAACTGAATGGACCGACTCGACTAAAACTTCTCTAATACTCAATATTGTGAATTGAAGCTATGTTTTTGCAGTGCATTGGGTCCCTGATGTGCGTGTATTGTATGTATACTGTGTAAAAAGTACTTTGAATATTATGTGCCAAGACCAACCCAGTCCTGTCACCTGTGTGTTTAGACTTCAGACTGCAATAAATGAAATCCACACAGGGAAGATGTGACTATTCTGATCTTTTTTCATCACGTACAACTGAATTGCACCTAAAATGTGTCTGGATTCATTGTTTTTTCTACTTCTCTTGTGGAATACGCTTTGTGTGTGTGTGTGACATTACTGGCCCAATCATTACATTAACCAATATTATATACTTTTATGATGCCTATATTTTTAAGCAACCCGGCTTCACGCAAACATTTCACTACATTTTATAACATATTTTTATTTTCAATGCTTCTGTTGTTGATTTGGAAAGACCTCTCTCTCTTATGAAGTTTCAAGGCTCCACACTGGAAAACGCTGGTGCTAATAGGGTTAATCTGGTCTAGAAAATTTCCCTCATTTGTTTTATTTTTGCTGCTACTGGACACCTTAATTTCTCCTACGAGGGATCAATAAAGTATCTATCTATCGATCTATCATGACATTTGGAAGATAAAGCTTATTGTGAGGTGGAGGCGCAGGTTGAGGGTGAGTGGAGTTTATTTTGGAATAACAAGGTCATAAATAAACTAAACAAATCAAAACATAAATGTGCTGGAATAAAAAAAAAAACAGCACAAATAAATGGTGCAATAAGAGTGATTATTCTCATTAATGTTAGTGGTAATTGTGTAATATATAATGCATGGTTTTGCAAGATTTCAGAGAATTGTCCATTTGGAATTGATGAAGTGAATGCATCCAGGATTTTTTTCTAGGTTTCAAAAAGTTTATAGATACCAAAATATCCCCACTCTCTTAAACTTATTAAAAAATAACAACATAATAGGCATAATACATTATTAGACTTCATTCATTTTGTATGTTTGGTTTTTTTTTGTCAAAATTGATCATTTATAATATGCCCTTTTCACTGTGTAATAAAATAAATGTATAGAGTCTATTCATTGATTGGAACATTTCATTTCAAGTTTGTCCACAGGTGTAGGAGAACAAGAATATAGTTCTCTGACTCCCTCAAAAAAAATATCCGCTCCACTGGTAACTATCCAGCTCTGACCTGACGCTGATTGTTTGCAAAAGCTTCTGTGGACATATTTTGACCCATTTAAACGGCGGTGATCGGATCGGCCTGTACATCCACTTACCTTTATAGGATCTGCAAAAACCCAGAACACGCAGGGGCCCGAGCTCACCACCAGAGGGCGCCCGGTAAGCGTATACATTGCTAGGATTTCAAGCAAGAGTGCAATAACAAAAGTGCACGTGCAGGCTTCGAATGGACTGTCTAATCATTAAAAATCAATTAAAATCAAATCCACATTTAAGGCCGTTTTTAGATACAAAAAAACAAAACAAAAAAGCAGGGAAACCTAGCTTTCAATCGACAAAATTTAACTTTGTAATATAATCCATCAATTTGTCAACAAATTTCTCACATACATTATTTTGGGCCTCTGTCACGTCAATTGATCAAGAAAAAGTGAAAAGAGAGGACGACCAATCAACTCCAAAGCGTTGATTAGTGACTCACAGGGTCCATTCTCACAAAAGATAACATGACAGCATATACTATAGTCTCTCACAAGACACTCGTGCTTTTTGGCACAACAAGCATAGATTACATATGAAAAGATAAAGTTAAGTACCCCAGCTTTAACATAGGAATTTCTAATTGGAACTTTAATGTTTCAGTGTCCCATCAAATCTTTTTGTAACACAGTGGAAATTAGAACTCTGGTCATTATTCTCCTTTCAAATGGATTAATTTTCTTGTGACTTTTTTGTCTTGCTTGGAAAATCTAAGTCCATAAGCAGTCACTTAGGGCCCCAAAACCAACAAGGAGCCCCCAGGAGTGGCTTCAATTGAATTCAAAAACACTTGTGTGTTAATTGGGTGTTAAAATTGGCTAAATTTTTTCTCACCCATAATAATTCCTATTTGATGTTGGCTGCAATTACAGCTAAAGTAATCAATAATTAGCCTCAAATGGAAGTGACGTGGTAAGGCCTGAAAAGGTTTTTTTCTTCATATACCCAAATGCTGCATGTCAAGTAAACACCATGTTCAAAGACACACTATGTAACTCGCTGGGGGTGGTGTTTCCTTTGCTTGTTATCTTATATAAAATAAATGCATACAGTTTGTGGAGACACGTCCACACAGGGCAGTTAAAAAGTTAAATAGGAGGGACTTTTATTCAATGGCTTTCAGAAGAACATGTGTTAAATGGTGCTCAATGATTTGTGTTTGTTTTATTGTTATTATGTTTTTACATGATTCCACCCTGAGTTCGCCTAAAGTAAGGAAAATCATTAAAAAAATCATGCTATATAAATTGTATAACTTATTGATTGTAATAATCATGTTCAGAGATAGGATTTAGAATTTTAAAACAAGCCTTTTTTGTACCAACATAGCTTGCGTGCCTTTACTATACGTACAAGCAAAATGTGGTCATCATTCAGACATTTCATATATTTATTTATTAATGTTTATTTAACCATCAAATTTTAGAATCTCTGTTCAAGGGGAGTCCTGGAGAGAGGGGAGCCATTGTACATGTTTTTAGTGGTAGAAGAAACCAGAGCAAACCTAGGAGGACGTAGGGAGAACATGCAAACTCCACGCAAAAAGGTCGTCTGGAGGTAGAATTGACCTTCTTGCTGATATACTCCTAATGTATCATATCATATCAAAAATAATAATCGCAGACTTTAAAACAAGTGGAGTACAGCCACTTCTCTGTCACAAAAAGCATAATTCACACTGGAGGAACATATGACTATTTTTGTCTTCCTCAATGAAGATGTAAAAATGTATGGATAATCTATATGTATACCTACCATTCATACAAAATTCTGTCATAAATAATAATAATAATAATAAAAAAAAGATATTGTTTCAGACTGCATAAGAACATGAACATATTTTTGGTCACATAGCATCTTTAATACCACCATTATAATAATTAGGATATCAAAAGTATTGAGTATACATACATCATTTGCATTGCGTTACACAAATCTGAACTGATTTATGTGTTCTTATATCTCTCATTCAACGTTCTCATGTTTGCCTTTTATTGTCTCATTGTGACATTTGTGCTGTAGAATTGTCCTGCTGAACTGACGCTATTTCGAGAACATTTAACCGGACATGTATTGTTAAGTAATATAAAAAACATTTTCCATATTTCCAAATGTAACTTTAAACCTATAAGTCAACTACTTTCCAATACCAATATGCAAGAATCGGGTTATATTCCAAACTAGTCCATGTCACCAAAAAGTAGTACTTTGTCCACCTCTTGCTGTGTAATTTTCGTGTTTCTTTTTTGCGGTAGTTTTTAAGCTGTGGGAACAGTCTCTTTGAGCCATGCCAGTTTATTGTAACAGTCCCGGTTAGAATTGACAAATGATTGGTGAGTATGTGCATGTGTGGACGTAACGTGAGGTCCAAAAAAGCGTGGAAAAGGCCCATGTCTCTTTCTCCGCGGGGTGGGTGCTGCCCGGTCAGACGCTGGTGATGGAGGCTAGGCAGTTGGATGACTTCTGGAGCTTCTCAGGCTGCGTGGTGGCGGGCTCTGGGATGGTGCGAAAGCTGAAGGGCAGCCCCATGCCACTGGTGCCGATGTGGCCCGGGCTCAGGGCAGGGTTCTGCCGTCTATTGCTCTCCACTATGCTGGATGTGTTGGATGCAAGGCTTTCGCGTGTCCTGTGGGAGGAACAGGGCCGTTAGTGATGGTGGAAAATGGTTTATGGGGGAAAATGGGGTACGTCACTTTCAAACCACGAAAAAAACGTGTGAAATTGAATCCATTTAAAGGTGATGTCAGTATTTCAGTGTTTAAAAGAATGCATATTGTGACCATATGACCCTCCAACCTTTTTCAATCAGAGAGCTACTTTAATACCCAAGATGAGGCAGAGAGCTACTTCTTTCTGCAGTCGTGATGAAAATATATCTAATAATAATGACAAAACATGGAGAACACATGCAAAATATGTAAAACCCTATATTTTTTATTTAGAATAGACATGTAATGACTGAAAATGTATTCATTCAAGCTCATTTGTTACATTCTATATCCTTTGGCGAGCTACCTAAAAGGGGCTGGTGAGCTACTGGTAGCTCCCAAGCCACAGGTTGGCTTAATGTACTAATGTAAATTTTTCAAAAGTAATATATTTCAAATTGTCCCTCCTGCCGTTGGACAAGGATCTAAATTAACATCGTCCAATCAGGAAGTTTTGTAGGAGAGGTGTCAGTTACTTTTCACAATTTGAAAAGTAATTCACACCTAAGAAATTATGCAAGATTATTAAAAAAATAACTCCAATTCATCCAAAACAGAATTGGAGTTATTTTAAGATGCATCCACACTAACATCAACAACTTCTGCCACAGACATGAAACTCCACCCCCTCGATACTAGCCTGGTCGTACCACACCATAGTACAAATTACATTTTGTACTAAGGTCTGGATTTCCAAGCCTGACTCTCGCCAGACCCATGTAGTTCGCTGCACTTCACACATGATGTCCATGTGGTTCAGCCAAACGCCTCTGGTGGAGCATGGCGGAACTACAAGGGTCTGGCAGAGCCAGGCTATGGATTTGCTCCATTGAGCTCCGTTTACAGGTGGGAGGGGCTAACTCCTTTTGCAGATTGAAACGATTGGATCTGACTTTACCGTGATGTATGTAATGTGCCCGAGTGAGTCGTTAGCATTTGGCCTAGCCATCTCCTTTGCTGCTAACGGAGCCCGTGGGGAGTAGCGCCACAATTTTTTCCAGCGATTACATTTGCTAAACATTCCTCTTGCTCCGGCTTCAATTTCTTGATAGAACCAAACCGGATTACTTTACTATCGTATTTTTCGCCATTGCCAAGTTACAAGTTAGGGTATCCAAGCTTAAAATATGCAGACACAAAAATGCATTTGTAAAAGGGAAAATAAAACCATGCAATATCCCATAGCCGGCGCAGTGCTTAGCTACAAAGAGGATTACAGGGCTAAAATACAAAACTATTTTAAACCATACATTGGAGTCTAGAAATGGATAATCCGGCATTATTAAAGCCACAAAAACAGTGTGTGACGAAGACAAATAAATGCCAGAAATAGCCATGGAGGACATGAAAAGGTGAAAGTGCAATTTTAAACATGCTAAAATATAAATAGTCTAAGCTCTACATGCTAACATTTAGAGTTAAGCTACAGGCTCAACAGTGACATCTGTGATTTCAGAATATCAAATGTGAATGTATTTTTGTCATTCTATATGAAGGATAAAATAAAATAGGAATAATCAGGCATTTCAATGTTTTTAATTGATTGTATCCTATTTTCAAGATATATGTTATTTTTGTCTTTAGCATTTGTCTAATTTTACAGCCCACATTTAGCCAAATGTTAGTTTCAGTGAGAATATAAACCCTGGGCTCTTACTGTAGCAGGACTACAGTCAAATAATATAACTATAACAATACAAAAGAGTAAAGTGGTAAATGCGTGAAAATTGAGCTGAATGATCTCACACAGAGTCCCTCTGGCGTGTCCAATAACTTCCCTGAGGTCCCGGTGGGTCCCAGAGGGGAATGCCCCAGGGAGGCATCTAGGTGGCAGAAACTCCGGCCCCTCAGAACTCTAAGGCCCCGTTTGAGACACCGCAAAGCAATTAGCGAAAACGACCGAATGCCTGCACAGCGTTTAGACAGCGACAGAAAACCATGTAGTTCTAGCGCCCGGCCAATAGTGGGCAGTGGAACTGTACAACAGGATCTATATATGGATTTATATATATATATATGTATATATTAGGGCTGTCAAAATTATTGCGTTAACTCACGTTAATTAAATTTTTCATTAACGCGTAAAAAAAAAATTAACGCATTAACGCATGTCCAAATGACCCGCCCAATTATCCATAATATCACTCAGAATGCCGCGTACACATGTCTGTGAGAGATGGCAACAGATCAGGTCTCTGGGAAGGAATTTTTTTAAAGAAGAAGAGGCTACAGTCTATGAACTAAAGTCCGCCTTCGCGGGCACACCCTGGGGGCGGCTGCAGCCGCTCTGGTAGTTAGCGACTGTGAGCCGCTCACAGCCGCACAACAACAGGGTGAACGGCGCTGCGGTAATGTGGTCATATAAGACCATACACACCACAGGACTATTCTCTGCATGTTGTGTTTGTGTCTCTGCAACCTGTGCGTAACCTGTGCATGCAAATACCGTGCCTCCTCCTGAAAACTAAACTAAACTTGCTAAATTAAAGCTGGGATACGCAAAATTTCCCCTTTCATTAACAGCTAATTTTGGTTGTGCCCAAAAGTAAAAGGTTGTGAGCAAATCAAACAGATTTACGTACATTTGGTATGAATGACAATGTGTCATTACATTTGATAATCTCATTTAACTTCAATTGGAGTGGATTTGAAAAAGAATGTTAAAGATGCGATTAATCGTGAGTTAACTCACTATTACTATGCGATTAATCAACTAAAAAATGTTAATCGTATGACAGCCGTAATATATATATATATTTTATTTGGACAAACAAAGGAGTAGAATTCTCCTCCATTTAACGCTCAAAGTACTCGCATTTGTTGACCCGCTGCCATTATTGTTTTTGTTTTTCCTCAGCGATTGTGCATGTACAAATGTACGTGCGGGGAAGAGATGAGGTCATAGCAGGCAGGGAATTCACACCTTTTTTTTCTTACACTGCGTAACAGCCCCCGCCGAGCAGCGTATCTGTTCTGTTCCGCTCTGGAGGCCGTTTTTCAACACTAGCGTTTTCAACCCTCTGAAGCATTGTCTTCATGGGCCAAACTGATACCCAATTCTACCGTTTTACTGTCGCAGCGTCTAAACAGGGTCTAAGTGGAGGAGCAGCGGCTCTACTCTAAGCTCCTTTATGACTGAACTCCTCACTTTATCTTTTAGATCTTGACTCAAAGCTCGTGACTCATGGGAACATAGATTGATCAATAAATTGAAAATGTTGCCTTTCAACTCAACTCCCTGCAGAGACTGCATCACTGCAGACTCTGCTTCTATCTGTCTTTCAATCTAACATTCCATCCTTCCGTGGGGGAGTTTTGTCCCCTGATGATTCAAAGGGTTATGTTGTCTGGGGCTTTATGCCAGTGGCTGAGTCTCCCATGGCAAACAGGTAAAAGGTTATAACTCTATATTTCCATACACTCTACCTCTGCATGGAGTGCATCATCAAAGACACTAGACCTACTCCTGCAATGTGTGATGGCTAAACAAGAACCTAATCTTCACCACCCAGTGACACCCAGTGAAAGAATGAAGACCCCCCATCAGAGCCTATTTCTAAAACCAATAGTTGTCCTAAATGATAACCTGAATGGCAATACCATGCTACGCATATATATGGATAAAAGAGGAGTTTGTAGAGCACATACCTGGGGGAGTTAAAGCCACTGTCCACAGTGACACTGCTGCTGTCCATGCTGTCCAGGCGGGCTGAGTGGGCTGACTTCTGACTGCTGCTGTTGTCCGTTTCCTTGGGGCTAAGAAGCGTTAGGTTGGTCTCCAGTTTTCGCTGCAGGTCATGCTCCTTCTCTCGCTCCAAAAGCCACTGCATGGTTCCCTCCCCGCCCCCTCCCCCACCTCCACCTGTAACACCCCCCTCCCCATGCTCTTTGCTGTCCTCAGGCGTGGCCAACTCCTTGTGCGAGTCCTCTTCGGCCTCCTCTTCATCCTCATCGTCTGATACATTATAATAGTCAAAGGAGGCTGAGGGGACGGTTGGCTCAAGGCAGCCCTGGAGAACTGCAGGTGAAGCTGCGGAAGTGGCTGAATTGGAAGGCTGCTGGGGCTCAGGATTGTCAAGGGCCTCTGTTGATTTGGCATGTGAGGCTTTCCGCAATGTGCCAGACTTGGTGTAGCTGCTGTCCACGAAGCCTGTGGACAAGGCATTGTGTGGAGGTTTGAACAAAGTGTCCTTGCTGAAGATCTCTTTCCTCTTGATCAACAACCCCCCTCCTCCCCCTCCAGGGTCCACATTGTGTTGGTGTGGAGTCAAACGTGCATTTTGCGCCGGCTCTGGCGTTTGGCTTGGCGTCAGACGGACAGAGCCGCACTGTCCTTTTGCTGCTGCCAAATCCTCTTTGTACTCCATCGTGTGAGGAGAGGTGAGGTGAGGGGTCTGGCGGTCAGCTGGAGAGCCCTTTCGGAGTCCCCCTGATGAGGTTAATGTGTCATATTCTGATTTAGCCTGAGGCGAAGGGGCAGTTAAGATTGTTTCATTTGATGTATTGCACTGGAAGTACTCATCTGTTGAGGGCTTTGGAGAAAGTCCCATTAGCTCATTGTACGTAGGCAAACTGTCTTTGCTTTTGTTCCTCTCTATTGTACTCCGGATCCTTGATTCATCTAAAGTCCCCTTCCCTAAATCAGGCACATTAAAGTCAGAGTGGAACTTAGCAGCAGAGAACATGATCCTTGAGAAGTGGGAGGACTTTTGTGAGGCCCGAAGAGTTCCGTCATCAGTGTAATAGTGACTGCGCTCTTCCAGTGGAGCGTCAAACACCTCTGAAGCTCCTAGAGAAGGGCCTTTGAGAGAGTTGTCCATGGAGCGGGAGCGTTCCTTCGCCTGATCAGACCTGTCATGGCGGGACTTTCGGTCCTGATTGTGACTGTGACTCCTCTGCACTCTGGATTGGCAGGTCCCACGAGAAGGCTCAGGAAATGGCATCTCAGTGCGTCTCTTGGCAAGTTCCCCAGACACATCCCATTCAGGAGCAACTGGGCAGTATGATTCTGTGATATTGGGATTGCTGTGGACCAGGTACGTGTTCCCCCCACTTCGCCTGCGCTCTACGGTGTACATGGCCTCCCGAGGCGAGCGGACAAGCGAGTGGCTGAAAAAGCGATAGTCTCTTTCCATGAATACTAGGTCCCAGTTTGAACACTCTGAATGGTCTCCTCTGGAGGTGCGTGGTTTACTGTGTGAGCGAGTCTTTCCATGCGGCGCCCTCCTGTGGCCCCGGCCTCTGCGACTGCGGGCACTGTGCTGAGCAGAGCCAGCCTTGTTCTTCTGAGCTCGCTCTTCTTCTAACCTTTTCATGACAGCTGTGTGCCGAGCCACATTCTCTACTGTTAGGTCAGGGTTTATTCTCCGGATGATTTCCATCTCCACTTCACGGGGAATTGGTGTTGTTGGAACTTCTTCGTCATGAAGAGGCCACTCCTCTGGGGGAAACTGAGCTGAGAAAGTTGCTAATTGTCTCAATTTATCCTTCTTAAAACTCAATCTAAAGAGTCTGAGTCCAAAGCGTTTGGATTGCTTCTCTGCAGTTCCACCTCCACTACTTCCCTCTTTCTTTTTGGTAAGGGTGTCAGTTTTGCAGGGGAAAGATGGTAGACTTTTGCTTTTGTCGGCGGGGTCTAATGCAGGCGCTGGATGCTGGATTGGAGGTGATGTGGCGGGAGGGGGATAGGGGTATGATGGGGGGTCTCCTCTGTGCTCCTTGGTGGACGTGCCAGGTGGAGGATCTCCATTGGGATCTTTGCTGGCCTTACTCTGATAAGTGTCCACCCTGTGCTCTTTGGGTGACCTGCTTTGGAGGGCAGAAGGGTGCAGTCGTGTTGGGTCGTCACGAAAAGCGTAGGATTCATTGTGAGGTTTACGGGCCGCTCTCTCCCGTAGGCAGCCTGGGGTGGGAGTGGAGGTGGGAGGGGAGGTGCATGACTGTGCCGGCTGCTGCTGTTGGCGCTCTGGGAGCCGGTCGTCCAGGTGATACCACTTGTTGTTGCTCCGGATGAGGGAAGGGGTGATGAAATAGGTCTGGGGGGTGACAATGAAGTAGCCCTCTGGAGTTGGGTAGATTTTACGTTCTCGCACCAGCATGTTCAAAGTGTGTCGCAGAACTTCCGAGCTAGGTGTAGGCACGCCTGAAACAAAACAAATTACAATAGATAGCTGTGTAGAGAAATCTGAATTAAATCAATTTATGTGATATGATTTTTTGATATAATAATAATATAGTAATTTGATTTAGTAAATTCTGTAAACAACTTTTGAGAGTTATGCTAAAGAATCTGATATCCAATATTTCCTGTAATCGGTTATAACAATCCTACCCGAGCTTATACACCAGTCAGTGCTGTTTAAGATAACCAGTCTCCCATGCCTCTCTAATTTAATTTGTTCACCTGCTTAAATTGCCACTGTCTTTCATCAGCCATTACCCAACAGATTAACGACAATCTGCAGCCTGTTTAAAAACATTTAAGTGTAACCCTGGCAACACTGGGCATGCTTGACTGTTTGAAAAATAGTGTAAAAGGAGAACATGCACGTACCAGATTCTGAACATCATGCCAGACCAAATATTAGAATTACACCAAATATTTAAAAAAATGCTTAAACCTCTGTTTAAACACAATGGAAAAGATGTGCGAGCTAATAGCTGTGCAGTGCAAATCCTTTATACTTAAAAAAACACACATTGAGTTCCTTTTAATCTATATATTTCAAACTTTAAACTCATAACATTTGTCAAATACAGTGTTGCCAAGAGTTACATCACCCCAGCGTAACATCATGATGCAACCTAATACATGTTTGACAATGGCTTATTCTGAGAGTAGTTATTTAAAAATATCTTTAAATGAGACTTATTGAAACATTTCACTGTTGAATACCTGGAAAGCTGGCAGTGAGGTGCTCCACCAGAGCCTCCTGGTTCACCGGCTTGTGGGCAGAATTCATGGCAGAGATGGCCAGACACAAGATCTCCCCCAGCGGGATGAACTGTGACTGGCTGATAGGTGACATGGTGATGGGAGACACGTCACCTAAAGAGGAGCACACGCACACACGCACACACACACACACACACACAAACACACACACACACACACACACACACACACACACACACGGGTGTCACACCATGAATGAACAGCAGGCACACGAGCGTGTGAAGCTATGATGTAATGGTCAAACAGGAGCGTGCTGCTCCACCCCTCCTCTTTGCGTTTCCTTAGCCTCTCATTTCTCCTGTTCAGAGGAGGTTAGCTAAGCAAGCAGCTGCTGCAGCAGCCATAACTGGATGGCCATAAACATCAGAAAGCAACATCCAATGAGATAAGAAACCTATTCATAAATATAATCTATTTATACAAATATACTATACATTAGATATAGCATATTGATAAGGGTTAATAAAAGTGTTCATGAAACAACAGATACATTTCCCTCGTTCTTCCCATGTGACAACAGAATGTGCCCACATAGACATAGTAGTTGTCGCTGTCGATCTACATCAGGGCCAGAGCGTACTCGTCAGTAGTGAGCTCATGCTCCAGCATCTGGGCCAGCCTAAAGCTACGCTCACAAAACATGTGCCTTACTCAAAGGTTGTAAAGGAAGGAGCTGAATGAATCAGGCTACCTCACCTGCGTGCAGTATCACTGTCCTCTGCTTACACCACCACAAACATATGCACAATGCCTGCGTCTGTTGTATTGTACACTGGGCCAGCTGTATTTCTCAAGAGATGCTCACTCACTATCAACTACACACAGAGAAGAGCTATTACACTAACATGCTCATCCAGAGCCTGCCTTTGCTATTGTGCAGCTGAATGGCCAGTTAAAGATGACGTTATCTTTGCTAAGAGGGCCCTCTTATGTGGCTTTACAGGGCTTTGACAATGTGAGGAAAAGGGATCTGCATGAATTTGAACATGGACATGTTTGACAGCTTTAACTTTTCTGGGCGATAACAGCAGTGTAATAATGATATAATATTATTACACTAATTATAATCCTTATCAGTTCCTAGTCTATAAGAGGTATTATTAGGAGCACAGCCTCAGTGTCCCTGGTTGTGAGAGCCACTGAATGAGACCTTGTGTTAAATGTGAGCATCTGTGCGTAAAGGAGGCGGGGCTACGCTGGATGAGTGTGGGACTCACCTGGTGCGCGATAGCTTGGCGGGGACGAGGAGAAGTGGGGGGCAGGAGGGGGAGGAAGGTGCTGCTTCTGCACTCGGATGTCTTTCTCCGTGTGGGACAGACTGTGCTCCAGCGGTTCCGAGCTTGGCCAGGCCTGCCGCACGGTCCCGCTGCGGTTCTTCTTCATGGTGACCCTTTTACGCACGAGGGCCGGTGGGATGGGGTGAGAGGGGGGAGGGGAGGGGTGGGGGGACAGGGGGAGGCTGACCGACGTCGGGCTCAATGCCTCCCCCGCATCTGTACGAGCGTCCCACTACTAGAGCGATCACAAACCAGACATGGCAGAAAGCGGCGTGTGCCTTTCACACGCATATACGCGCGTCTCATTTACGTCCACCGGTGAGCTCCAAATGAATGTGTCCCGATCCGGAGTGACGTGCGGCGGCGGAGGAGGGCAAGGTGACTGCGCGAGGCATCACCCTCTCATCGGTCCCAGCCACCATTTGTAGCATCTCCATTTGCATGCGTAGGGAGGCACATTACGTAGCCGCTCTGATGTGGGAGATGGGAGGAGGAGAGGCGGGAGGCAGGGGTAGAGATGAGGGAAATGGGGCATTGGGAAGCAAGGAGTACTATGAAGACGAAAGCACTAGGATCCACCGGTTCTTTTTTGCTTAGACGAAGGAGACTGGCACAGGGATAGGTGCACTGGCGTTTACGCACGGTCAAAAAAAAAAAATCAAAGCTTTAAGAGGCCCAGTCCTCGACAATAGCTCAAATCACCATAGGAAAGCTCACCGAAGCCCAAAAAACCAAAGAAGCCACTTTTGCACAGGGAAAACGTGAAATAACAGCTCAATTCAGCCGAGCGGACGGTGAAACCTCAATAGTATGCCAAGCCGCGGTGATGCCACGTTCACCATTTTTTATCCGATCAAGCGCAAGACCCCGATGTCTTTTTCGGCAACAGCACACCGGGAGAGGGTGGGGAAGGAAAAATGGAGAGCGTAGAAATAAATAAATAATGTCAAGAATAGATATCCATCGCTCGGCACAATCCAGGGAAACAGGAGACTCTAGCGCCGATGGCCGTAGCATCCATTCATTAACACGGAGGAGGAGAGGGAGGGGGGGGGGACGCAAACTCCAGTCAACGCTAGTGCTGCAGCTGCTCCCAGAACCTCCAGCAAGGGTGTGTGTGTATGTGTATGTGTGTGTGTTTGATTTGAGTGGGAGAGTGTGTATGCGCGTCGAATACGTTGTGCGTTCTGCGTGCTTGCGTCTGTGTCTGGGTGAGGGGAGGGGAGAGGATGGGCGACAGAGGGACTGGAGGATTTAAGACACAGCGCGCGCATCAACAGCTTGGGACGGGCCACTCAAACTGGGTGAGACTCACTGCGCAGCCTCCACAACACCCCCCCTCCTCCGACCCCCGCCAACTTTTCTCACCAATTTAGGTTAAATAAAGTGGGGAAATAAGTTATTAAAATGATAGAGAAGAGGAAAATACAGAATAATACCGTTTATCAGGATTCTACATATACGCCTGTGATTATAAACTATAGATTTGTCTTTCAATAATTAATAGATGGAACACTATTTTGGGACTTAAAGCTGGGGTACCAAACTTGTTTTTGTTTATTAATAACACATTTTGTTTGTCCCAACAGAAGTGTCAAGCAAAAAGGTTTCTAGATTATTGTTTTTACTTATAACAAAGTACCAATTCAGGGCAAAACAAGCTGCCACACAGCATGAGCATGACATTGCTGTGCATGTGCTATACTAACATTAATCACTGCCTGTGCGCATGTAAATAACTTTTGTAGCCGCCACAGCTGAACTGGGGCAGACTGACAAAAGTGAGGCAGGCAATCTGCACCATAAGCCCGTCCAACAACCAATGATCCGACACCAGACACCTATAGACCTAGATTATAAATACAATGTCTGTTAGTAAGCAGTAAGTCTGCATTTTGCTCAAAACTTTAAACATTCTATCGATATCATGGGTTTAATGACACACAATATGGCTTGTAAACTTCATGACCAAAAACATAAAGATATTTGACAGACAATTGTGAAGTTAAGGCAAAATGATTCATTTTATTTTCTTAAAAAATAAAACACACACACACTCTAGGGCTTGGACAAACATGAGTTTATACTTTGTGGAACCCCCTTTGAGGTACGGGGTCTTTTGGAGAATGACAGAAAAAAGTGCCCATTTCTCTTTACAAAACAACTCAAGCTCTGTCAGATTTGATAGGGAGGGTTTGGGAACAGCAGTTTCCACAGACTTTCTGATGGATTTAGGTCTGAACTTCAACTGGGCCATTCTGAGACACAAATATGTTTTGTGTTACTTTTGCACTTTTGCAAGCCATATATTCTTCTCATCCCTGGTGCTGACACATGACCATCACCTTCATGACAGCTGCAGCATACTTCCAAAGTGGGGAGGGTTTTTGTTAGTAAAGTTTGTGGCTGTGCCGGACCCCTGACTCGCACAAGAGGGGGGTGGGGGAGCAGGCCAAGTCGCCCGGACAGAGGGAACACTTTCACTATGTCACAATAAATCTGCTCCGGTTCACCCAAACCAAAAGCACCAGGAGCTCAGGGGCAGAGGCTCAGGGTGAGGGAAGGGGAGTGACACCACGCAGCCATTTTATTTTTCAGTAGTGCTGCAACAGCCTTTGTTGCTATGACGACGCAAGCCGATGAGCTCATAGCTGTTACCTTTGAGTGCTGCTCTCTTAAAGAAACAGTGAGAGTCTGACAAGAAGCCCAGTTTGTCACGTGTGAGAATAATATCACTCAGATGTCACATCCTTCAACACAACACACTCTACAGACTTCAATGGATCTGCTCAATAGAACAACTACAAAACTTATTACGCAATGAGAGGCCTCCTCCTGACAAGTCACAAGTAAAGAGAATCATCTTGCATTGCATTGTCTCATTCGTGTCACTTCAAACTGTGACTGGACCATTACCATTATTGTATATGATTTTCACCATGGCAGAGAAACAACAGTCTCATGTAGTTGTCCCTAAATGGTTATCACCATTCTGAAAATCAACTGTGTGGATAAATAAGAGTGAGAGTGTTGCTCTCACCCAGAAAAACTATGAGCAATCAGTCAGTTAACACAAAACATTTGATTATGCACATTTTCATATACATAGGAGTGTGAAGTGGCTGGGATGAGAATCAGCACCTCCAAATCCGAGGCCATGGTGCTCGACCGGAAAAAGGTGCCCGGTGTCTCCGGGTGGGTGAAGGGGTCCTTCCTCAAGTGGAGGAGTTCAAGTATCTCGGGGTCTTGTTTAGAGCTGCAACTAACAATTATTTTGTAATCGATTAATCTATCGATTATTTTTACGATTAATCGCTTGGCTGTGAATTGTGTAGAAAAAAAATATTTTTTCATCACAAAAAGCTAAAGTGGCAACACTTGAGGACGTATTGATGGCGTAAACTTAAAGTAAATGTTTGTAACAGGCTCTTTGTGCTGATTCTGCTATCTGATTGGATGAGACAGACAGATATTCATGAAATTATAAAAACAAAGTCGGTTTTAATCAAATATACTACATTTTCATGTCATTTTTGCTCTGTTTGAGTCCGTGTGAACAGAAAACGATTAATCGATTACTAAAATAGTTGTCGACTATTTCAATAATCGATTAGTCGTCGATTAATCGATTAGTTGTTTCAGCCCTAGTCTTGTTCACGAGTGAGGGAAGGATGGAGCGTGAGATTGACAGGCGGATCGGTGCAGCGTGCGCAGTGATGCGGTCGCTGTATCGGACCGTTGTGGTAAAGAGGGAGCTGAGCCAAAAGGCAAAGCTCTCGATTTACCGGTCAATCTTTGTTCCCTCCCTCACCTATGGTCATAAGCTTTGTGTAATGACCGAAAGAACGAGATCGTGGATACAGGCGGTCGAAAGGAGCTTCCTCCGTAGAGTGGCTGGGCGCTCCCTTAGAGATAGGGTGAGGAGCTCGGTCACACGGGAGGAGCTCGGAGTAGAGCCGCTGCTTCTCCACGTCGAGAGGAGCCAGTTGAGGTGGCAAGGGCATCTGTACCGGATGCCTCCTGGACGCCTCCCTGGGGAGGTGTTCCGGGCATGTCCCACCGGAAGGAGGCCCCGGGGAAGACCCAGGACACGCTGGAGGGACTATGTCTCTCAGCTGGCCTGGGAACGCCTTGGGGTCCCCCCGGACGAGCTGGAGGAAGTGTGTGGATAGGGAAGTCTGGGCGTCTCTGCTTAGACTGCTGCCCCCGCGACCCGGCAACGGATGAAGTGGAAGAAAATGGATGTATGGATGGATGGACATTTTCATATAGACCAATCAATACCCCCAACCCCCATAAAACACATCATGTAAACAAAGATGGTCCTAGACTTATTGTGTCAGTATAGCTGAAGTACTTTTTAGAAATATTAAACTTGTTAAGAAACTAAAACTAAATTAAAATCTTAAATTCCTGTAATGCAAGATTATATACAATTTATAGAGATTGTAGTACTCGCCAATACAAATAGCCTATCTAACAGAATTGCCGTAAAAAGTGTGGTATCAGCATGTGACCGCAAGCACCTGCTTTACAACATCACAAATAACAAACAGATGTCATTACTGCTCAGTGCAGAACTCTGACCTCCTACTAAACAGCAGCATTCTGTTGTGGACTGCCCCCCAGTGGAGGAGATTTGAAAACACATTTACTAATAGGAGCTTTTTCAGGCCAAGTTCTAAAAGAGGTTACAGTGTAGCTCCTCCTTCCCTGACATTTGGATGTGGAGGAAAAGAGCTCAGCATTCCCCTCCATTCTCTGCCGTTTCCTTCCACTCAGAGACACTACAGGCTCCACTGTTCCTTCCTCCACTCCCTCAGCCCATTGTGCACAACTGCTAACCAACACAAAACCTTGAGTTATTCACTTTTTAATTGTCAGCGCTACAGCGTGGAAACTGGTAGAGTGCAGCTATAACTTTCATTTTATGTACTTTCTGCTGAATGGTGCTTTTCTATAGGAATGAAAACATACAGGGCAAAGGTGGTGAGGCCAGTATTATGTGTGTGGTATAAATTCTATTTAATGTGAGAGGAACCTTGAATGAGATGTTATGGAAATGCAGCAAGCTTCTTTTATGAAGGGCTTTTTCTAACACACACATTTAAAGTGTTAAGGCGAGGCAAGGCAAGATTATTTGTATAGCACAATTCATACACAAGGCAACTCAAAGTGCTGTACAAAATAAGAAAGCATTAAAATCATAAATAATCACAATACATTAAAAAGAAAGATAAAAATCCCTCAGTTGTATGCACAGCTAAACAGAACTGTTTTTAACCTGGTTTTAAACATTGTCAGAGAGGAGGCCTGTCTCACATCTTCAGGAAGATTGTCCCAGATTTTAGCAGCATGAATCTGAAAAGCATGAATCTGAAAAGCATGAACTCAAGCGATTTTTTGAAACAAACCAGGTGTGTGAGCATCAATGAGTTGGAGAACATCTATCTGCTTTTGTATAATGTGAATTTTATAATGTAAAATGTGTTTTAATTGTGTTAAAAGCCGTCCTAGGGACGGACATAGCAAACTAGCCTTGGCTATAAATGTTATAGTGTTTCACATGTTGATTGTGTACACTTGTCCCTATCAAATAAATCAATAAATACGTAAATAAATAAGCAGCCTCCCCAAAAGGTGACTCACACGCTTTCTTACAAGTGTGCAAAAAATAAGATGTTTTCTAATAATATAAAGGCAGCATGTTGTTTCAAAAGTTAGGTAACCCAGTTTTAAGGGGTTTACCACATCACTTTTCTGGTGAGTCTTTGCTCTTGCTATTAGCTTTACAGAGATAGCATTAGTGCATTGTCTGGAACTTTACAGTTTATAAAGTAAAAATCAGTAAAAAACAAGATAATTCTAGCTAGCCTTTCACAGATCTTAGCATTAAATTTATCTTGCTTAGTGTCATACTTGTGACAATAGACAGGGTTAAGCCAAACTGTGGAGCATCACCAGTGCATACAAAATATTCATTGATACGAGTAATTATCAATAAACAAGAGAAAGTACCGGTCCGGATTAAAGGAATTAAAGGAGACAAATTTGAACTTGGCTGGGTAATAAAGCAACGAGACTGGATTCATTACTGTTTTCACACAATGTATTGTTGTTTTTTGGATGGATTGAGAACATGAGTGAGAAGATATCTAGGCCAAGACAGTTGTACACAAAATAATTTAACCAACATGTACTTATGAATACTTTTTTTCATAGACCATTGACCATATTGTATAAATCAAGAATGTTTAGGATCTTTGAAAGAAAGTGTCAATGCTGCAAACTGACTCAAGATCAACTCAGTCTGATTTAAGACCTTCTCTTTGAACATTGTTAGAACTTGTCTGCATGATTTCTCTCATAAGTCTTGGAAATGGGTCAACCCCAATCTATGAATCAAGCAAATGCACTGCTATATATAATAAGAATTAACCCAATCCAGGTATTTTCTGGATTAGGCGCTCATGCTTGGATTCAACCAACCAAGCAGGACTGAAATCTGGTGTGCTCCTGCTTGGTTGGCCTTCAAACCTGCAGCTACACGGCCCTTTGAGCAGCGACTTAAATACCCCTGACCTAATTGTTACTTTGCACCTGCCCAAAAACCCAAAACATGGCAAACCTATACAATGTGGTGACTTATTAACAGTTATATAAACATTCCAGAGCTTATCACCATTTGCCTGAGAAACCTCTTCCGCCACACGCTCTTCACACACAACAGGCGGACACATAATAACAGCATTTTTAGCTTCACATTTGACTTGACTGAAATGTCTTCCCACTATCAGAGTGTGCATCTTGATCCATTCATTATGAAGACTGGAAAACCTTTTGGAACAAACTAGCGGATGAACTAAAAACATGCTCAATGCTCAAACATGAAAATGAGTGAAGGGAGAGTAAGTGATAGACGAAAGGTGTAGGTGTAATGACCGGAGGGGCAGATTTACTAATTTGACTCAAAAGGTTACTTCCAACAACGCCACCCTGGAATAGAGTAGTGCTAGGGACACTTAAACACATAAGGCTCGCGCAAATAAGGGATAGAGTGGACCAGTAGACCAAAAATATAGAAAATGTACATAGTTTATTTATAAATATAGAAAAGTAAAAGCAACAGGTGCATCAATACATTTAACAAAGCTCAGTAAGCAGCTCACTGAAACTGATTAAAAATACCCATTTGACACAATAATTGTTACAAGCATATCCTCAACACGGCAGCCCCACAATGTTCATGTGCCCAAAGGCCCTACCCGATGGTGCGCGCGGATCCGCCGCGCAATTGCGCTACAGTCTTTAGCCACTGGATGAACCGGTGGTTGCTGCTGTTCTTTAAGACAAATGGGAAACGTGGAGGGACCACGCAAATGGGGTTCGAAGGGGGAGGAGGAGAGACCCGCGAGGTTTCCAGTCCTAAACATGGAATTTGGGAAATTAATATCCTGCAGGAATGTTCAGAGCCATACGCAGCACAAGAGGGCAAAGCACAGAAATACCTACCAACGCGTAAACAGTGCGCCACGCTCACAGATGGCAATCAAAAAGGTAGCTATATCCCGAGTGCCACGCTATGAAAAATATAAAAAAATGAGCTAATATATATACATTTGATTTCGTTTTAAGAGTTAGAATGCTTACCAGAAGTTTCTTTTAAACAAGGCACCGCACGAGAGGGGAATTACCCTACTTTAGCTCGTGCGTAAAAGTCACTTGACGCCCCGTACTAGAGACAGCGGAAAATTAGAGGACGTTTATACAAAATCATAATTAATTTAGAGACGAGGTGGCTTACCAAAGCTTTTGCGTATGCAGAGCATGTAGCATGGGCCGCAGATGTAAACAAATGGAGCGGAGCCTTGTGCGCGTGCCATGCGCCACAGCACGCAACGATAGTCAAGACGCGCTCTGGATCAAAGTATCAAAACAATGTTGTTATCTTAAAACCGTGCCACTAATGATCGTGGGACAAGGCTCCACTCCTCGTGCTCCGTGCTCAGCTCCAAAACGGCGGGTGACGTCAGAGGCGACCAAGAGGGGGGCGACACGTGGGAATCCCTCCTCTTAAAGGGTTCAGGTGGCACTTAATAGGCTGCCGGTGGATACGAGGGCCTACCGCCACATTCTACCCCTCCTCCTTGCATCGTCGCCCCGACGATGACTTGACAACTTGGTCCACAAAAGTCAATGACTACTCAAATTTTAGGTGCCCAATGCTGACCGTGGCAGATTATGAGGGTTTGGGTGGCGACCAGCGGTGGTGCGCATTGTTCGACGCATGCTACAATTTCCAACATTAACTGGTGAAGATTGCCCTGAGCTCCCTGCGGGTGTTCCCAAGAGAGGTACCTCGAACCCAGGGGAGACAGGATTGGTAACCGGTTGACCTCCAAAAGTTTGGTCGGGAAACAAAGGTTGCGGGGTTTCGGAAACAACCCACAAGTCTAGATCACAAGAATCCTCCTCCACGACACAGTGAGTAGCCCCTAGTTGGCCATCACCTTGACTCGCTTCAGGTGGGCCACCCCCAACCAAGACCTTTAACAAAGACCGATGGACTGTCTTGACTCTAGTGTGGTCATGGACAGGGGCAATGGTGTACACGGCTCCTCCGTCGTGAACTTTCAAGACAACATAAGGTGAGGAAACCCACATGTCCTGTGTTTTACGGCGGCCTCTAACACCCGTATTTCGCAACAAAACCTTCTCGCCTGCCTTCAAGAATTGATCACGGATGTTTTGATCATGTAAAGCCTTCCTGTGTCCTGCAGCTGTTCTCCTTTGTTCTTTGGCCCCTTCAAAAGCAAGCTGCAGCCGGGTCTGGTGTTCCAAGATCCACTCATGATGATCCCCCGCAACAGGACAATCTATCTGGCCAAGCAAGAAGTCGACCGGGAGCCTAGGATCCTGGCCGAACATCAAGAAAAATGGGGACACCCCAGTGGACGGGTGAGGTGTGGTGTTATAAGCGTAGAGGATTTGGGGCAGGCAAGAGCACCAATCTCGTTTGCGGGATGTGGGCAAAGTGCGAAGCAAGTTGTGTAGAGTGCGATTAAATCGTTCACACTGCCCATTCCCGGCAGGATGGTAGGGTGTAGTCCTTGATTTCGCAATGTTGTAAAGATTGCACAGCTGTTGCATCAACGAGTTCTCAAAACTGCGTCCCTGATCAGAATGAATCCTTGCTGGCACACCAAACTTTGAAAACCACTCTGAAACCAAGATTTTTGCAACAGTCAATGCACGCTGGTCGCGAGTTGGGAAAGCCTGTGTATATTTGCTAAACACATCAGTGACGACCAGCACATTTTCAAATCCCCCCGATGATGGTTCTAGCAGCGTAAAATCCAAGGCAATGATTTCATTAGGCCGTGATGCCAAAAGGTGACCCATAGGAGCCCGAGCTAGGGGCCTGGTGTCTTTAGCCACCTGACAGCGTAGACATTGTTGACACCACTCACGCACTGCCTTCGACATACTGGGCCAGTAGCACCGTGCCCACAAAAGCGCCAGCGTCCTCTCAATGCCTTGATGACCATGTTCGTTATGTAGTTGAGTCAAGACCTCCTCGATCATAGCAGCAGGCAAAAGGAGTTGAAACACAGCCTCACCGCCGTCAGCACGAAAGACTTTACGATACAACAAAGAGTCCCGTTCGACCAGCCTGTCCCACTGGCGAAGCAATACCATTGCCGAGGGAGACAAACGTTTTCGCTCCTCAGGGTTCGGTTTTTGCCTTTGCCTCCAGAAGACTGCTACTTCCTGAATAACAGGATCTAAATCCTGAAGGGCCCGGATGCCTACGGAGGAGTGACCCGGCAGAGCAGACACGACGGCCTGTGTTACTTCAATTAATGGTGGGGGGAGAACCTGCTGCAAAGAATCGGGCACGATGGTACCTGGAGCAAAAGCGCCCAGGTGGGAGGGACCGCAGTCCCGTTGACGAGACAAGGCATCTGCGTTGCGGTTGCTCCGACCTGATCTATACCGTATCTCAAAATTAAAACATGCAAGTTGCGCCGCCCAGCGCTGCTCGACAGCTCCAAGGTTTGCAGTGGAAAGGTAACTCAGAGGATTATTATCCGTGAACACAACGCACCTATGTCCCAAAAGGTATTCTCTAAACTTCTCGGTCATAGCCCACTTTAGGCCAAGGAGTTCAAGTTTCATTGAGCTATAGTTGGACATGTTCCGTTCTGTGGCTCGTAGCCCCCGACTGGCATATGCTACGGGCCTCACCTTACCACCTTGCTCCTGGGAAAGAACCGCACCCAAGCCACAGTGGCTTGCATCCACTTCCAGAATGAAGGGTAATGTAAAATCAGCATACGCCAGTGCTGGCGCGCTGGTAAGCCGCTCCTTCAAGCCATCAAAGCTACTCTGACACTCTTGGTCCCATTTCTCCATGCTGCGCTTAACTAACCTCCCTTTAGACTTGCCAGACAACTCTGCCACTTTGCGATGTAGTGGGGCAGCGAGCTTAGCGAACCCCTCCACAAATCTGCGATAATAACTCGCAAAGCCGATAAAGGACCGTAGCTCGGGCACAGTGGTGGGCACGGGCCAATCGGCGACGGCCTGAATCTTACCAGGGTCCGTGGCCACCCCTCTATCCGAGATGACGTGTCCCAAATAGTGCACCTCACGCTGAAAGAAACTGCATTTGTTCAATTTAACCTTAAGGCCTTCGGAGTGGAGACGGCTCAATACCCCACCTAACCTCTCTAGATGCTGGTCCGAGTTGGAAGAAAATACTATGATATCATCCAGATACAAAAGCAATGATTGACCCTGCTGACCACCAAAGATTCTTTGCATCAACCGTTGGAATGTACTTGGTGCGTTGCAAAGGCCGAACGGCATCCTATTCCACTCGAACAAACCGAAGGGCGTGCAGAAAGCAGTTTTCGGACGATCCTTCTCAGAGACTGGAACCTGATTGTAACCGCTGGCAAGATCTAAGGTTGAAAACCAACAAGCCCCGGTGAGAGAATCAAGAGATTCCTCTATGCGTGGAAGCGGGAATGCATCCTTCCTGGTTACGGAGTTCAACTTACGGTAATCGACACAAAGCCGTAAAGTGCCATCCTTCTTTCGGACAAGCACTATCGGCGAAGCGTATGGACTCGAACTCTCACGAATGACTTGCGCCTCCAGCAGTTGGTTAATATGATCTTTCACAACCTCATATTCGGCGGGTGGAATACGCCGATGTCGTTGTCTGATGGGAACATCGTCAATCAAAGGGATATCATGGGATATCAAGTTCGTACAGCCAAGGTCTTGATCATTGGCAGAGAAGACTGAGACATGCCGTCGAAGGAGAGATTGAGCAGCATCACGGTGTTCAGGAGGTAAACAGGACAAGTCAATCGCATCAATCTGGTCAAGAACAGAAGTGGTACTTTGGCCAGCTACTTGGGCGGCCATAGAGGACACCTCTACAACACCAGTAGGTAAGCTAACAACCCGCGCACTGTCAAGCGTACCAATAACAGTGCGGGGATAAAGAAGTACATCAGCTACACCCACGTTCACTACCGGAATGTAAGCGGTACCGCGCTTGACATGGACCAAAGCTGGTGACGCCATGAGGCCTGCTGGTAACCCATTCTCCAGTGGTTCAAAGAGTACAGTTCCATTAGAGAATTGTTCCGAACAAGTGGCGGTAACTAACTTTATTACACCACCCGGGATTCGACAAGCCCTCTTCCCGCAAACCCGAACACGACCTGGCTTAGGTGTTGACTGAACACTGGCGACATGGCACTTCTGCATTGCTTCTACAAGAATGGTAGGAAGTGAGCTGGATGACTCCCCAAACAAAGCAGACCCGTATTGACCAAATAACTCCAGGTAACACTTACGGATAATGTTCATCCCAAGCACACCCGGAACTTGAGAAGGCGTCTGTCCAGGAGGATCTCTTACTATGAGAACACCACACTGGGGCATCAACTTCCCACTAAAAGTGACGTCAAGTTCGAGGTAACCAACATATGGAATGGACAGACCATTGGCGGCTTTAAGCTCTAGCCAATGGCAAGCTTTTAGACGATCCTCTCCCCATGGCTCAAAGTTCTTCCGAAAGAAGCTCTCTGTAACTGTAGAGACCATCGACCCGGTATCCACCAGACATGGTACGGTGGCGCCACCCATACCAACATCGATGTGCGGGCACAAGGAAATTAATTTGGAAGCGTCTTCAAGCCCTACCCAAGGATTATTTGAACCAGTGTGTGCCCCACCCGAGCTGTGGCTCGGCAACACGGTGGGCACTAGTTTTCCGACGGCGTTTGCTGCTGAGGGCCGCCACGCCCCGAAGACTGTGGACGGAACGGAACCCGTGGCCCATCACATTCCCTTGCAAAGTGGCCTGGGCGGGGAGAACGGCCACGCTGGCAGGGCTGGGAGGCCTGTAAGCGGGAGATACTCTGCGTCAGCTTGTCCAGCTGTTCCTGCTGGCGTTTCAAAAGCTCCTTCATTTCGCCGACTTCACTAGAGGTTGGCTGTTGGCTTGACCGCTGAACGCCACCCTGCACCGCATACTGTATTCCAAAGGCTGAGGGGACCGAATTGCTTCGGCCCCGCATGATCCCCGGCAGCCCCTCACGTTCCCACCTGATTGCCTCGCCTCTGACATCAAGTAGGGTTGCATCAAGAGACCGACGCACGTATTGTTTTAATTCACGCCTAAGATTGCCATCAAGAACCTGCTCAACAAAC